CCCTAAACCCTAAACCCTAAACCCTAAACCCTAAACCCTAAACCCCAAACCCGCCCTCAAGACCCCAGAGCCGAAGAAAGCGCTCAACCAGGGCCCCGCGCGCGCAGTTTCCGACTTCTTCCGGGCGCGAGCCAGCAAGGCTGTTGTCCGATGGAAGCAGTTTAGAGGGTTTAGAGTTTAGGGTTTAGGGTTTAGGGGGTTTGGGGTTTAGGGTTTAGGGTTTGGGTTTTGGGTTTATGTTCAGGGTTTAGGATTGAGGGCTCAGGTTTTCAGGAGGCTTCAGGGTTAAGGGGCCTGAGGGTGTTGGAGTTTCGGGTTCTGGGGTCCGCTTTTAGGGATTGAGGACTTCTGTACCGGGGGGTTTGAGGTGAGGATCAAGGTGTAGAGTTCGAGACTGAACGTTGGGTTGTTGGGGATTGAGCTTTAGAGAACAGACCCTAAGCCCCTAAACCCTGAGCCTAAAACCAATTCCAAGAGGGACCTGGGATTTCGAGTCGGGCCTTGGGTACGGGACCCCGAGGGTGCCTACATTCAGCAAGCACCAGACCCTAAACTCTAAAACCTCACGCACATTGCGGACAGGAGGAGCCTCCTTTGCTTTTGCCGATCCCTACTTATGCTGTTCGTGCCTTAACCTTCTTCTGCAGAGGTTGGGTGTCGGGAGGTTGCGGGGTGTAGGGTTTGCGGGATTGACTGAGGCCTTAGCGCAGACTTTGATGACTTTCGGGAGTGTTCTTGGCCAGGATGTGCCGCGAGTCTACGATGGTAGGCCTCGTGAACTTCACATACCCCTGCAAGTCCTCAAGCCCTTTAGAATTCACAGTGCAGTTTCAAGGTATTCGTCCTCAATTTGGCGGCTCTTATACGACTATTATGTTATACATAGGACTTATAAGCAAGTTGAAGGTGTATCCATGCCAGCCATCCGCCCATATATCAGGGGCCACGACTTTAAACCGCATCGTAGCCACAGACCATAAACCCAAACCGAAGCTTTGAACCTTATAGCCGTATCGAAGCCACAAACCCTAAACCCTAAAGCCCAGACCCTAAATCCTGAATCCTAAACCCCAAACCCCGAACTGATCTTCAAGGTGCTGATCATCAAGGGCCAGTCGGCACGCGTGGGCTGGCAGGCCTGCCCCAAAGTGTAGGACTGTTCGCTCTGAATTGCTTTTTTTGGGGGGTTTAGGGTTTAGGGTTTAGGGTTTAGGGTTTAGCGTAGGTTTTAGGGTTTCAGGGCCAAGGGCTAATCAGGAGGCCAAAATAAGATTTAGGTCTTATAGGGCTTACTCAGAGCTGGTGCATCATGGTTTTTGGGGTCGAGAAGGTTTGGGCGGCCTTTGAGGAGGCGGAAGTTTAGGTTTTCAGGAGGTCGGTCCTTTAGCATTTTTTCTGCTCTGCTTGGGCACGAGAATCACGTAAATTGGGCTTTAGGCTTCGGCGGGCCCCTAAGCCCCAAGCCCGAAACCCCAAGCCCTGAGCCCCTGAGCCCCGAAGCCCTAAACCCCACACCTTGGGATGTTCCTCCTTATACTAACTGTCCTTAAAAGGGATTCTAGTACCCCCGAGGCTTGACTCCAATACCCCTTAATGAAGGAATGATCCTTAACCCACATAAAAAAACCCTCTTATATTCTAACTAATCTTCTTCCAAACATAAGAGGTTCCTCATATGGTTTAAGGAGTATTCCTTCCTTAAGGGGTATTGGAGTCCCTGAAAATCCGGCTTGCACCAGGACGCAGACGAACTGCGACGCCCCATCATGTACGGCCCGAGCCGGGCGCTGAGGGTGGCCAGCTAGCCCTAAGCCTCAAAGCGGGGACAGGGGGATGTGACTACAGGGTTGAGGGGTTCAGGCGTTTAGGGGTTTAAGGGTTTAAGTCACCCGTAAAACTTTTCGCTGTTGGTGGGGGGTGTGGGTATGGACGTTACGTTTGAAGGTATATAGGCATGGACCCTACACCCCACTCTCTCCGCCTTAAACCATCGATCGGGTTTAGGGTTTAGGGTTTAGGGTTTGGTGTAGGGTGTAGGGTTTAGGGTTTAGGGTTTAGGGTTTGGGTTTAGGGTTTAGGGTTTAGGGTTTAGGGTTTAGGGTTTAGGGTTTAGGGTTTAGGGTTTAGGGTTTAGGGGTTAGGGGTTAGGGGTTAGGGGTTAGGGGTTAGGGGTTAGGGGTTAGGGGTTAGGGGTTTAGGGTTAGGGTTCAGGGTTGGGGTTCTACGGGAGCCAGACCAGCAAGAAGCGACTGCACTGGCCCTTTCAATAGTGGACCTCCTGAGCCTGCGAGCCCCCGATTTTGTACATGCTGCCGGTGTTTTTTTTTTGCGGCTTCGCGGTTTGGGTACGTTTGCAAATAGGGGTGCGTATACTGATCACTCCCCCAAAAAACACACACAAAGAAGTGTTGGGAATTGGGGTGGGAGGGCTTGTCAAGGAAGCTGCAGACTCAAACACTATTTGTAAAGCCCCCAAAGCCTTTATTCAGCATTTAGGGTTTTGGGTTGGGGGGGAGAACCGGGCTTGTTATAGCCCTAAACCCTAAACCCGAAACCTCTACCTTTCAACCCAAAGCCCATAGCGGCAGGATCCCTGGATGGGAACTTCTACAGCTTCTGCCTCCTGAGAGGCCGATTCGGAGCCAGGGTTTATAGGGCATAGGGCAGAGGGTTTAGGGTCCATAAACCCTAAACCGGAAACCCTAAACCCGAAGCAGTTCTCCAGTTTAGGGTCCTTTCTTGGGGTGCCTGGTTCTCAGACAGCCAGTTTTCAGTGCATGCATGTTGTTCTGAGGGTACCCACAAAGGGACCACGGTGCAGAAAACGGACCATGTCAGGGGAGAGCTTGCCCTGAGCTGTTGTATGACACTTCGGGGTGGTTCGGTCGCCGGGCATGTGGGGTGTAGAGTTGAGGGCTTAGAGTTTCCTTGGTCAGAGTTGGGTATCATTTTTCATTTTTAAAACCCTAAACCCTAAACCCTAAACCCTAAACCCTAAACCCTAAACTAGTTTCGGGCATGTTGCGAAAGGCCTGCGTAGAGAGCCCCCGCCGAGGCTGCCAGCCGTTCCTGCGCGCGGCCGAGGCCGAACGGAGCTCGTCGTTCAGCGAACACACCTTCTTAGGGTTTAGGGTTTACCCTGAACTTCCAGAAGACAGGTTAAGCGAGGCGGTTGTACAACCTACACATTTGACTAGGCGGTTGTGGTTTTGACCACATTTTAGGGTTCATTAGAAACATGCAGCTAATGCCTGTAAACTTCGAGAATACCATAGCTGTAGTCACACTTTTTTTCTTCAAATGCACTCATCGGCGCCATCCCTTCGCGATGACCTGCCTCAGAGTGGGGTTAATGGCAGGCTTCTAGTGGACTTCTGAAACGTGTCGTAAAATTAAGTCGAAATGCACATATTTCTGCCAAGTCGCCGTGTCAAGCGCTTCCTGGAAGCCCGCAACTTCACACGGCCCATCTTCATCATCCACGCCCCGAAGTCTTTGTCTGCTCTTGGGGCTCGTTTGGCTACTCCTGAGTGACACAGCTTTGGTTGATTCTAATGTCACGAAGATTGTTCTGAGGATCACACTTTTCACCCAGCCCATAGCATCCTCTCCAGCAAAGTTATGAAAATATCGGCAGCAGTATCCTTGGGTACGCCAAGAGAAGGTGACAAGATTGCCTTATGAAGCAACCAATTGCGATCCAGGAGCTCCAGCGCCGCATGTCTCGTAGCAGGTGAGCTAGTGCCTCAAAAGAAGAGTGCATGTAATAACCTTTCCCAGCTGATTGGACCCGAAATGCATATATGCAAGCAAGGTACATGAAATTTGGGTTTCATCACCCAAGCCAGCACCCCCCTCCTGACAAGACATAGGCGATCAGAATCAAGCTTGATGATGCTTGTTGTTGTGGTCTATAGGGGTTGTACATGTAGAACATTTCTATAGCATGTTGATCAATTCCATCGACCCTACCTCATGGAGAGCGCCGTCAACTTGCGATGGCATCGCAGAAACCGCATCCCAGTAGTGTAGATTTCATCAGCTTCCTGCTGAGTCCTGAGATTCAGCAGCTTCGAAGTAGCTACCTAGAAAAGCAACTAGAAAATAGTATCATGAACATACTTCCTTGACCACATCGTACCGACTTTTGCCAATCCAGTGCAATGGTAGCTGCAAGTACCGGCCACCGCGCTCCATGAGGCCGAACAGACGGGCATAGGAGCTCCTCATCGCCGGGGTTTGGACTAGCTAGTGACATATAGAGAGCCCACCAAGGAACCCTAAACCCTAAACCCTTATAAGCCCTTATAAACCCGAAACCCTAATTAAGTATAAACATAAAACCCCATAAACCCTAATACTATAAACCCTAAACCCTAGAATGAGTTATTGGTAAAAAAAAGGTCCACAATATACTGCACCAGCTAAGAAGCATAGCCAGTGAAGTTAATGTCAGTTCAGGCGAATGATTAGGGTTTGCTCGAGCAAAATCTGCGCATTCTTGCGCAAGAAATTCCAAAACGATTCGTCCATTGTAAGCCTTGCAAGTGAAGTAGAAACCGTGCACATTCTTTATGAGGTTGCTTACAGTGAAGCGTTTCTGAGAACATGGGATCTGGTGTTGTTTCCTCCAGAGCTTGAACTTCTCAAAAGCAACGGTCAAGCGCTCTTGCACAGATAGTGTCGCTGGATCCCCAAAAGCACCGGCTTGCAACAAGCATTGCCTGGTCATATCCTTGACCTACAAAATCATGTAACAGATATACGAGTTTCATCAGAGTTTTCATGATGGAATGTTCCTGAACGAAAAAAAGGGTATGCTGATGGGAAATTTAAAAACCCAAGGCACATGGCTCCTCCATTTGCTGTGCACACTAACCCGAGGTTGTTGACGTGCATAGAGCAAAACTTGACCATTGTCACATCGAATCCGCGCAGGTAGGTTAAGGGACCTTGTGAAGTCAAAGAAATAAGGGGGAAGGGGGTATGAGTGGTAAGGACTATTTGAAAGGGGAATCTGCTTTACCCAAGGGACTCAAGATTCCAGGTCGCACCTTCTCGTTGATGAACTGAGCAGTGGTTTTTTCTGTAGAAACCCAACCAGGGCCATCGGCGTCATCATCACAAGTGTCATAATACTTTGCAGGGCAGTTGTCATCCCCGACGGCATCACACATAAAACACACCTTCTTTGACACAGGTGTGTGCCGCAATCTCAGGATACGTTCGTGCCATTTCCAGTCTCCTCGGATTTCGCTGCAGGCGAACTTGGTGCCATCTGGAACCAGAAGCTGCCCGGCCTTCCGACGCTTGCTGGCAGGAAGACTGTTGCCGAAAGCATCAGTGACAGGGTAATGACCCTTAAACGCCAGATTGGCGCTCCAAACGATATGCTTCAGGATGGGTGTCATGGTTGCGAGACTGTCATGAACCATATACTCGTCCTTCATAGCAAACAGGAGAAACTGACCTAGCCTCACCTTCTTGGGTTTGAACAAAGTGAGTGTCAGGAACATCGCAGTCACTTTATCCTTAGGATCACCCAAGCTGCATTCATCGCCATATAGGCTGAAGGGCACGTGTGAATCGCTTCCCGGGTGGTTGGTGGCGAAGGGCATTCCACATGAACGCAGATGCTGCCAGTACTGTCGCACTTTATCTTCAGGGCATTGTAGACGCAGGTCATTGTGGATGTAAGCCAGCAGCTCGTGCACATCCAGCACAGGAACCGTCGTGGAGCCCACTCGCCACTCCATATGATGTTCATTGAATTCCCAAATCGGAACCGTAACTGCCGTCGGCTCCTGAGGTGACATCTGGCAAGCTCAGCCGCTGGGATCAATTATTTAGGGTTTAGGGTTTAGGGTTTAGGGTTTAGGGTTTAGGGTTATTAGGGTTGAATTATAGGGTTTATAATTATAGGGTTTAGGGTTTAGGGTTTAGGGTTTAGGGTTTAGGGTTTAGGGTTTATTAGGGTTTATATAGTTGTCTAACTCGCAGGTAAGCTAGAACGATTGTCTGAAAAATGTTGGGTTCTACAGGAGGGGATGGCATGGCATGTAGAAGATTTTATCGGACACTCCCAGGCTCCAGTGGCACCTTCACATTCTTGAAGAAATCACGCGCAAAGTTGCCAGGCTTGTAGCTCACGAGCTTGGAAATAATTTTGCCCTTGAAGCGATGTCCAGCTTCCTGCGTGTTCCAAAGGGGTTTAGACGGTTTAGTGGGTGTAAGGGTTTTGTTGGGGGGTTGAAGCCAGCACATTTGCATAGACAATTGCTCTTGTGAACAGATCCGGCCTTGTGGCTAGCTCGGGCATCTTCCATAATTTCTGCGACGCTGGATTTCTCAGTTCGATCAGATCTGAGGCAACATGGAAGGACAGCAAAGGAGTGACAACGACATCCACTGTGTGCCCTGGCTCGCATTCAGATAGCCAAGGATCTCCATCCGAAATCTTCTCAAGCATGTGCTGCAGCAGACCATCTTCATCCTCCGATTCATCACCTGGCATTTCAACATTGCATGTTTGCTCATGCACCTTAGATGGGGGGCAAAAGTGGCGGCGTGCACTTGGGCTTGTTTTAGCATCATCTCCAGGGCATCCGATCGCGCTTTCAAGATCGCATGCGGTGCTGATCGTACCGAAAATAAGCAAGAGCGGCGTACTAAGCACCAGTGTGCCTGCTAAGGCTCTGCATTGCCCACGCACCTGTGCCTTACCCATGAGCTGTATATATAGGTCTAGGGTTAGATGACAAATGTGAGGGTTCAGGATTTCGTAACCTGGTAGACTTGGGTCGGCCCAGGTATACCCAGCACAGCACGAGCTGGGCATCTGATGCAAACCGCGCTGCTGCAGCTCCTCCCTGTCGCGTGGGCACGCCTACCATCATGATCACGACTTGGATGCAGAATATTGTTTTGCGTAGCCAAGGTTGGCCCTGGCATTTTCAAGGGGAGCCCGCGTTTCAAAATTCGGCAGTCTAGAGATCAGCTCGAAGATTTGCGAGGGTGCATGGGTTCGATGGTACGTATGGATCACAATCCACTTCAAGCTTTCTTCTTGCTGCCTTCTTTCAGAAACTTCTTGTAAACACGATCAAACTGCTCAATCTCCGACGAAAGCTCCTGGGTGAGATGCTGCGTTTCCTCCACCTCGCCAGTTTCATACACGCAGGGCACGTTCTACAGCTCTATCGATCCAAGGCATCAGACGCGGAACGGGCCTTATGGCAATCCATGGCGCCCTGGCAAGCGTCCCGGGCCACCTGGATCTTGTTGGCCTCCAGAGTATGGGGTTTAGTAAATAGGGGTTTAAGCGAACCCCCGTTATTTTAGGGTATTCGGACCCAAATAACTTTTTGCCCCTTACTGAATTTCTAGCTAAGGCATACGATGTAGAATATTATAGGTAGGTGATTTTTTGGTTTAGGGTAGAGGGTCTAGGGTTTCATTAGGATTCAGGGTTAAGTAGGGTTTCGGGTTTATAAGGGTTTAGGGTTCATAAGGGTGAGGGTAGGGAATTCCTATCGTCCTGAAACCCTATAATTATAAGCCCTTAACCCTATTATAATAACCCTAAACCCTTCTAAACCCTAAACCCTAAATCCTAAACCCTTATAAACCCTAAACCCTAAACCCGAAACCCGAAACCCCAAACCCCAAACCCCAAACCCTAAACCCTAAACCCTAATTCATGATGCCATTGAGTACGGATTGAGGGCTCCGGCTTCGTAAGGGAGGGTCTTATATTTGAAAAATAAACGAAAAAATGGCTTTTCAGGGTTTCGGGTTTATGATAATATACATATAGGGTTTGAGGCTGGTTCTTCTTTTGAGTTGACAGGCTCGTGCCTGTTCCTCCACATCCTTCTTCATGGCCTCCTTCAGGTGGCGCCCCCTGGGTGTGAGAACAAAGGAGAGAGCCGACCCCCTAGGCCTGGGTGAGAGAGCCGAAGCTTGAAGTGACATGTAGAAGCGAGAAGCACGGAGCTGAGTATCCGGCATAGACTTGGCAGCATCAGTCTCCTCAAGTTTCTTCGCCAAACGGATCTTTTCACTTGCTTTCGAGATGGCCTGCAGGTGATGTAATCCCAACTGGTAAGACAAAAAAAACGTATTAGATCCCTTGGCACCTTCTTGGCGTCAGCGTCGATGTCCTTGGCGGCGCGTGCCGCGGCATCCTCACCATCCTGTCAGGAGAATGATTATAGACCAGGGGGGGGGGGGGGAGGGGGAGAAAATGCTGATATAAACCCTATTATACCCTAATTACCCTAAACCATACATACCCTAAACCCTATATTAAACCCTGACAAACCCTAATCCAAAAACCCTGATTATTATAAACCCATGAAGTATAGTTCTCTCAGACTATAATCCCTATGATCAGAAACCCTTACAATATGCCCGACAATATACACCCTTATAAACCCTTCAACCCCTTCTAAAGCCCAAACCCTGAACCCTGAAACCTTAACCCTGCAGAGGAAAATACCCTGGTACATAGAGCATTGCACAAAGCAATGCAATTTATCCACCTGCTGTGGCTCCTTTCCTTTTGCGGCCTTTCCTTTTGGCTTTCCTTTGGCCTTGGCCTTCGGGGCTTTCTTTGTTGGTGTCTTCTTCTTGCTCTTCCTCGGCTTCTTGTTTTTACCCTTCGACTTCTTCTTGCTCTTCTTCTTCTTCGAAGAAGAAGAAGTGTCCTTTTCTGCGTCCTGAGCCCCTTCACCCGACGTATCCTCATCTGAGGAATCAGACGACGATTCTTCGTCCACATCCTCGAGCTGGAAGACTTGCTCGAACTCTGTGCCTTCAAGGTCTTCCTCGGTTTCATCCGCCAGGCACAGATACTGCTTCATATCCTGGGCGAAGGGAAAGTATACATATATAGGGTTTTTCTGCGAGATCATATTCTTATGGGATCAATTATATATTATTACAATTGTAGGGGGTTGAAGGTTGCTTATCTGGCTTCGGCTCTCACACTGGTAGAAATCCGAGGGTCTGAGTCAGGGTTCCGAATTAGTAGCTAGGGTATGTGAGCTTATAATATAAGGCTTATTTATATACATATATGATATATATATATATACATATATATATATACATATATATTTAGGGTTTGTGATTTTTAGGGTTTAGGGTTTAGGGTTTAGGGTTTAGGGTTTAGGGTTTAGGGTTTACGGTTGGGGAACATGTCAGGGTTGTAGAATCCCATTCCCGGCCTCCCGGTGTGGATTCTGACTTCGCGTTTTGCGGTAGCCGGGTCACCAAGCTTACTGGCAATGATGTCCTCTGCAATCTGTGCCCCCCACTTTTGCTCCAGCTCGGCTCTTGTAAACCATCTCCGAACACCGTGCCTGGTGTTCGAGCTTTTGTTCCTCAACGACACTAGCAATCTCGAGCTCGACCAATTCTCGTTGCTGGTTAACCAATTTTCGAAGAGGTACTGCCTCTCAGCCGAGTGAGGTGGAGACTTTTCACCTAGTTTCTTGATCTCCTTCGGGGTATAAGGACCTCAGCTTGCTGCAAGTCATGTGTCTACCTGGCAGATGCACACAGCGCACAAGTAGGTACGGGCAATTAGAGCCAGACTGACGAGAGATCTCGAAAATCTCATATATCTCGCGTGCAGCCTCTTTCGTCTTTCGGCCTTCTCTGTGTCCTTCTTGGAGGTTGCTGCTGGCGCCATCTCTCCCTCTGGTTTCTCCCCTGTCTCCTCCTTTGACTCCTGGTTATCCTTCATGACTGGACTGGCCTGCTGTGGGGCTGGCTCTGCTGGGGCGTTGGCCTGTGGGGCTGCCTTTGCTGGGGACGTCTTTGGGGATTTGTTTCCCTTGTTTGCAGAAGGGGGAGCTTTGACGGACTTCCTTCGCTTGGGGGTCCTTCGCTGGGAGCTTGGCTGGGGTGGTACAGTGGTCCTTGGCGGGGTTGACGCAGCAGTTGGCTCACCGTCAATTTGTCCTGCACCCTCCTGCGTGTGTCTGCCATCCTGTGCCTCCTTTGCCTGCTTCTCTGCGCCCTCCTGCGTGTGTCTGTCCTCCTGTGCCTCCTTTGCCCGATTCTTTGCACCCTCCTGCGTGTCTCCATCCTCATGTGCCTCCTCTGACGGCTTCTCTGCACTCTCCTGCACCTGGCTTTGGGGCTGATCAGGATTGGCAAGCGCTGACTCCTGCTCGATTCTTTTGCCTTTGCTTGTTTTTGGGGAATCCGGCTTCGCTCTCTTGGCAGGTTGCTGCATCGGTGGATCTTCTTGGGCACGGCGCTTGTCGATCTCCTCAACGACAGCCTGCAGCTGCTCATCAGTGAGCCGGTCAACGGTGTGGCCTCTTTGAAGCAAGAGCTGCACGGGGTTCAGAGAGACATCCTGGGTACTTTCGTTTTGCCAGTTGCTCCAGTGCCATGTATTAGAATTCTTCCAACCAGAACTCCAATCCCACCATGACCCCTGCCATTCACCACCCCAGGACAACGACCATTTCGAGTCATCATCATGGCTGGTAATCGAGCCTGAGTTTTGACTCCGATAGCTTCTAGCTGACCAACCAGCATCCGAGAAATCCTTTGAAGTACTCTTCCAGTTCGCAGGGGTTGTAGCCTCGGAGTAGCCTTGCTCATCAGGCAACGTCTCCGTGCTTGACTCACGATCATGTGACCAAGGGCTGGCCTCGCAAACGCATATCGGCATTGAGTGTTAGGGTCAATGTGGGGCGTGGAGGGTTTCACTATATAGGACATGATGCACAGGGTTTATCAGGTTTATTGTTTTTTTATTCGGGTTAAGGGTTAAGGGTTTATTAGGGTTTCTAAGGTTTACGAAATTTATATAAGGGTTTATAAAGGGTCTATATTGGGTTTATTCAGGTTTCAGCTTTATAAGTTTATAAGGGTCTAGGGTTTATAAGGGTTTAGGATTATCTCTCTCTCTCTCTCTCTCTCTGCCTCTCTGTGTCTCTCTGTGTCTCCCTTGTTCTCTCTCTCTCTCTCTCTCTCTCTCTCTCTCTCTCTCTCTTCTCTCTCTCCTCGCTCGCTCTTCTCTCTTCTCTCTCTCTCTCGCTCCTCCCTCTCTCTGTCGCTCTCGTCTCTCTCTCTCTCTCATCTCCTCCTGGTCTCTCTCTCTCTCTCTGTCTCTCTTTCTCAATTGCCAGGACCTCGTTTGCCTTCCTCTCTCTCTCTCTCTCTCTCTCTCTCTCTCTCTCTCTCTCTCTCTCTCTCTCTCTCTCTCTCTCTCTCTCTCTCTCTCTCTCTCTCTCTCTCTCTGGTCTCTCTGGTCTCTCTGGTCTCTTTGGTCTCTCTGGTCTCTCTGGTCTCTCTGGTCTCTGGCGTCTCTCTGGTCTCTCTGGTCTCTCTGGTCTCTCTCGTACTCTGTCTCTTTCTCTCTTTGTCGCTCTCTTTATGGATATGTATTATATAGTATATATACGTGTATATATATATATATCTGTATACATGTTTAGTCTCTCTCTCATGTCTCTCTCTCTCTCTCTCTCTCTCTCTCTCTCTCTCTCTCTCTCTCTCTCTCTCTCTCTCTCTGTCTCCCTCTCTCGCTCTCTCTCTCTCTCTCTCTCTCTCTCTCTCTCTCTCTCTGTGTCCCTCTCTCTTTCTTTCTTTCTTTATTTTTATTTCTGTCTCGTAGATACATATATATACACCCATAATTTTATGTGTCTTATCAAAACGTAAATATCCGAACCTGAATCCAGAAAACGGGCCTTCGGTGTCGCGGCCAAGGCTGCCTCTTTCCGGGGAGCTTCGGATTCTTTTGTCGGCGTCGACAAGACCAAGGTGGCAGGCACCTGGGCGCAAAGAGAGAGTTGTCTAACATGTAACCCAGTTATAAAGAAGACAGTCCACCGATTCCAATTTGTAAGATCATGATGACCGAGCCTGGCTGTCATCATGAAAAGGAGTAGTGCCCACAGCTGCTGCCATCATCTGACAGGGATGTTGAAGTTCCAGCTTTTATATGGTAATTTGAGATCATCAGACATTGAACTATAAATATAAATGGGGTTTTTAACTTGCTGCCTGATCCGTCTTGGGCCGTGGCGTAGCTACCTCTGCTTTTGGTTCCTCGGGGATCTCCGTCTTGCTGCCACTAGAACCGCTGCAAGCCGATGCGGGGGTAGGCGGTGTAGGGGCACCCAAGTCTGCGTTGGGGACCTTCTCTGCATGAGCTGTACCTGCCAGGAATCCAAAATATGGTTTACAGAGGTTTGGGGGTTTAGGATTGCTGGTACCACAGATGCAGTGCTGTGTGCAATCCATAGGCACCTTGCAAAGCACGCTGCCTCAAGGCAGCAGCTTTCTCTATCACATCCAGGACCGTCCGGGCAGGCATGTTGAGTCGGTGTGTGGAATTTGCAATTTGTTGCAGGTCTATTGGGCCCAATGACCACTCGAAATTGCTTAGCCGATATACTTCCCAGTGTGTCTCAGTACAGACAACCCCCGCTCTCATGCCATGATGAGGCCGAGCAGCCTTAAAGGAGGCGGCACGTTCAGTCTTGAAGTCTGCACCAAGAACACACGTGTAGGTGCACATCACGACAGAGTCACGCCAGAATCACGCCCAAGTCACGCCCAGTCACGCCCAGTCACGCCTAGACCCGGTGGCTCTCTATTCGAACATGAGCCGGAGTCACGCCCCCTCACGCTCGAGTCACGTCAGAATCACGCCAGAATCACGCCAGAATCACGCCCGAATCACGCCCCTGAAACCCCTCCAAAATACCGCAAAAAACTCCAGAACAAGTCCTAAGTTGCACGGAAAGCAACTATCATGTCGCTGTTTTTGGAGCATCTCCCGCTGAGATTCGAGCATGAAACCTGACATGGTGCCAGAAATGGGTCCTCGTGACCCTGGTAGAACTTCGACCAAGTATGTCTCGTCAGGAAAGGATCGAATTTAGCACACGCGTGGCGAGACCACACGAATTAACAAACCTAAAACTTCACTCCTCAGAGCGACATCAAAGGGTGGAAGCGTCCCTCTGCCTGCTCCTGCCTGAGGAAGTCCTCGATGGCGGGCAAGTCAGCATGGAGCCAGCACAGTGGCTTTGAGACCTGGCTTCGCACAGAATTATAGAGGGTGTTGGGAATAGGATTATATATATATTATGGTTGAGGGCTTAGGGAGGGGTAACGCATTTTACCTGCTCTGGCCTTGGGCATTGATGCCAGCATCAGTCTTCCCTTGCGTAGGTTTTCCTCGAATTTGTGGCCGTGCCGTTCCTCAATTCAATGCAACATACGTAGATTTCTTTTATTCACTAGCGACGGAATGCTACGTAGTCATAATCTAAAGCCAAGGCACCACATGCTGGAGATGCAAGCGAAGAACTCGTTGACAAAATCTGTGAGGATAAGCTTGTGTGCCCTTCAGTAGCTTGTCACCTGTCCTTGGCACAGGGTTTCGCAATTCGGTACCATGTACTGTCTGCGTGTACCACTATATATACGACAATGCAATCCTACAGCACAATATATAATTAAAGGCAGGCCACACCACCGTTTTTCCTTTGGAGTTCTTTCGACGCTTCACATTTCCAACAGAGCTCAATCCCAGGTGGGCCATTCTCTTCTTTGATAACTTCCGGTACAGCTTCGGAATCAGTCCCCTGGATGCCAGGACTGGGTTGGAAGGCGGGTTTAGTGTTTTAAGGAAAATCTGGTTTAGGGAATTATGTAGTAGAATGGTGTATATATGAGAATTTAAGTACACGATAGGTCTGTTTTCGAACGGTTTGTTCTTTACATTCTGTTACTTTAAAAATTTAGGTGTTCATGGGGCAATTTAGGACGTAGAAAAGATGGACCAAAACTCTGAGTCGCATGGTGCCGTAGGCCAGGCTCCCCTTTCTCGATCGTGCTCCCCAACAACCCATCCAGCTGAGTTAGGGAGTGCACGGTGTACGACACACATTACAAATCACTCAGTGCTGGAATTCCGACTGGGGCCCGGGCAAGAAGGTTCGATGGAACGGTAGGAAGCGACCCAAGACGTCAAACACATGCCTCACATAGGGAAGATATTCCAGCTTGGAGCTGAAGGGTTGTTCCACCAGGAAGTAGCATTGGCGGACAGTGATCAAGAGCAGCAGCAGGCATACTCGTGCTGCAATCCTTGGTTTTGCTGCGAGTACGTAATGGCAATGAGAAAGCACGTGCCCATTCAGCTGCATACAGCACACAAGACAGTGATCATGAATGCCAAGGCTCACATTTCCTTGGTCTACATGTGGCTTTGATTCATCTCCCAGGGGATTTTCCAAGGTCCGACCACTCGTACTGGAATTTATCCACACGAAGCTGCTACAGGGCAGCCCAATTGTCACCAACGAATGTGGTTTCAGCTTGAGCACTCCACGCACGGCCGCGAAAAAACCTTGCCTCAGAATTCCTATCCTCTGATAAGAATTGCAAGCAGTTTTTTTTTCACTATTATTAATTATGTTCCCTTTTCGAAATTTCCTCCAAGAGGCGTACTGCAGATATCGTCCTGCACTGGCCGGCCATTGATGTCCATGTAATCCCTGCATTTCAAACAACAAGACTCGCGCGAATTTGTCCAAGCAAGCTGACATGGATTAGTTGCGAACGAGCCACGACTTCAGTCCGGCAACACCTGTACGTAAGGGAGATTGAATAACAGGTAAACGGAACCAGGTTCGTGTGTATCAAGGCCCCAACAAAACTCGCGTTGCATGGCCCGGCAGCCCGCGAATAGATCGAGGTGGCACAAATCCTTAGATAGAAACATGTGTACATGCACACGTGCGCAACAGACAAATTTTACAAAGTTTGACTGGCTAGATAGGATGGTCATGATCCTTGAGGAAGCCAAGTCGCACGAAAACTGAGGTGGGCTGGGCTCTGTTGCACAACATAGTCGCACATGTGGATTCTTAGCGAGCAGACCAGAACAGACGACGACTGATCAGGTTTAGGGTTTAGGGTTGCGGGTTTGTACATGTAATATAAGGCCCAGACATGGTCTTGTGGGAGCCCATGAGTGTCAGCATGGTAATTGCAGCTGCACTCAATGACAGAGGAGACGACGTCATGGAGCCCACTCCCGGAGCCATCGTGCTGGACTACTTACTGCAGTCTCCTGATCCAGTGCGTGTTCCGAAGCCGCCTGGCAAGTCTATATATTATGATCATGCATACCCTGATCATGAGTATGGCTTGATCAATCATGATGCTTTCCGTGCGAACCGATAGCTGCCACACATGTACTAGAATTTACAACTGACTAAGGGACTGCACATCCCAGCACACGCCTGGACTCTTGAACACAGACAACAGGTGCGTTTGAGCATCATGCCTTAAAACGGTCCTTGCTTGCGGGCACACTTGCAACGACATGTACGTACCATAGCGTCGAGCGACATTTCCACACACGCGCAGACCAGACGATTCCGTCAAGTATCGCGACCGCACGACACATCGCGAAATCAGCAGAGCAAAATTTAGCGGTGCCAACCTATAAAGGACACACATGTGCATCCAGCACAGGCGTGCTCATAATCAATGCACGCGACTAGTCCTCCTCTTCGAATTCTTCTTCATAGCTTTCCTGCGCTTGCGGCCTTTCTTAGCTGAGGTGGTCTCTTCGTGGGTGTTGCCACCATCGGGCAGCAACGGGCTCCAGCCAGCAAGGCGCTTGACCAATCGATACCTCAGCTGCATCGGGGGCTTTATAATCTAATACCCTTAAAAACCCTATTAACCCTTAGAAACTCTTACATATATTAGAAAGCCTCAGCAAACCCTAAACCCTTATAAATACCCTAAACCCTGTAATCTATAAACCCTATAAAACTAAACCCTATATATAGGGGCATAGTATATTATAAAGGGTTTCTGAGGGTTTTTACATGGTTCAGGGTTTTCAGATACAGGGTTTAGCTTCTGCCATCAAACCCTCCAAGTCTAAAATTTACTTGGGACAGGGTGCACCCTCTGCAGGTTGACAAAATCTCCCTTTTTCCAAGAGATTGACACACCGTGGTTCTTGTTGGCCTGCGTGCAGGGTTGCTACAATTCCCGGGCTCTACATCCAATGGAAAGTATGTTTACTTAATTGCATCAAAAACTGTGACATTTGACGTGAGACCTGGACAGGGATGCTGGAGTCATAGGCCATGACTTCGGCAATCCTCTCATCGCTCACACCAGAGATATAGAAGCTTCCCGAAAACCTTAGCTGAACATGCGGTCAGGATTCGAAGAGAGACCCAGACACATGAAGGAAACCATTGCTATCCTGAGAGTATAAATTTAGCGGAGATGCTGCACACCGACCGTGCTGGCATCCCAGCCGTACTCCAGAAGCACTCTCTCGGCAGGCTTGAGGGTGAAGGACCTGCAGGAGTATATAATTAGTATTCCCCTCGAAACCCCAGGAAGAAACAACGAGATCGAGAGAGCGAGAGGGAGAGAGAGAGAGAGAGAGAGAGAGAGAGAGAGAGAGAGAGAGAGAGAGAGAGAGAGAGAGAGAGAGAGAGAGAGAGAACGACACAAATAAAGACAGGAAAATAGAGAAAGAGATTATAATTAATTAATTAGAGCGAAAGAGAGAATCGAACTAGAGATCGAAAGAGAGAATGTACAGATAAAGAGAGAAAGAAATAAATTTAAAGAGAGATTAGAAAGAAAGTAAGAATATATAAAAGGAAGAAAGAGAGAACGAGATAAAGAGAACAAGAGAAAGAGAACACAAATTAGGAGAGAAAGATGGAGAAAGAAGTACAGAAAGACAGAGACAGACAGAAAGAAAAAGAGACAGACAGAAAGAAGGAAAAAATGAAGAGAGGAAAATATAATTGAGAGAAAGAGAGAAAATATATAAATGCAGAAAAAGAGACGTACAGGGATAAACAAAGAGAGAGAGAGAGAGAGAGAGAGAGAGAGAGAGAGAGAGAACAAGACAAAGAAAGAGAGAAGGAGAGAAGGAGAGATTGAGAGAAAGAGAGAAAGAGACAGAAACAGAGAGAGAGAGAGAGACACGTACAGAGAGAAAGAGAAAGAGAACGAGAAAGATAAAGAGAAAGAGAAATATATGGTTAAAATGAGAAAAGCGAGATGAGAAATCAGAAAAGAGAAAGAGAAAGAGAAGGATAAAGACAAAGAGAAAGAAGATACATAATAAGGAGAGAAGGACAGGTCATGAATTAGCAACAGAGAACTGAATTTCAAGCTAGCTGCGTGCCATATGTGATTGTCTCCTCGTCAGGCAATGTGAACCGCTCCACAGCCTTGAGCTTCCGGAGGTCCTCCATGACCTGGTCTTTGAGTGCCTGCGTGCAAATGGGTCTGGGTGGCTTACAGGGTTTATAAGGGTGGGTGCAGGGTTTTTTAGGCAACGGTTGAGTTGGAAGAGTTGTACGAAGTGAGTCCCCCGACCTCTGTGCGCTTCCTGGACTGGGGCATTTTGCCTGGCGAATACTTAATCCTGCGCTGCTTCTTCAGGGACACGACCGGCGTCCATCCAGACCGCAGACCACCATCATCCTTGCCATTAGCTAGACAAACCCAGCCCTCGCCCGTAAACACACATGACCACGAATACCGCTAGAGCGCTGGCCATGACTCCACTGCAGGAACCATCTGCTCCGGCTTCGCCGCCTTCTTCGCTTTCTTTCCCTTCTTTCGCTTCTTGGCAGGAGCCTGCTGGCACGGAGGGGGGTTTAGGGTTTCAAAGGGTGTTGAAATATTATTAATTGAGTGTATATATATATATATGTATATATGTATATATAGATATTTATGTATATCTATGTATATATATATGTATATATAAATAAATAAATAAAGATATATATATATATTTTATATTTTTGTTCATCTATTAAAAAACTACGCTTGAAACGGAGCAGCCTCGTCACCATCCTCCTCCTTCGCGTCCTGTTCCTCCTCGCTCTCGAAGAGCTTCCGCTTAGGCGTTGGCAGGGTCTCTTCGCTAGGTTCGACATGCCCGTCATCTGTTGCTTCCTCTTCCTCCCTGGCTCCTCCCTTTTTCGCACGCCGGGTCTTGCAGCCCCTTTTCTTGGGGCTAGGGATCTCGGAACGGAGATCCTCCAGAACCTCCCGCTCCTCGCCTTCCAAAGCCTTAGCATCCTCGTTTATCACAGACCCATCCGATTCCTCCCCGGCCGACTTCTCTGCGTCTCCTGCCTTGCACTTTGCTTTCCCTTTTGCTTTCCCTTTCGCTTTCCCTTTTGCTTTCGCTTTTGCTTTCGCTTTCCCTGCCGTCGCTTTTGCGGTGGCTTTGCATCCCTCTGCCGTTGGCCTGGCTTCGGGCTTGGCTGTTGGCAACACTGACTCACGAAGAGCTTTTCGGAGCTTCCTCTGAGCCTGCACACATGCGCAGGGATTCAATTTGCAAGTTAAAAAAAACCTCACAACTTATCATCTGTTTCCGAATTTTAGTTGGTGCCTGCAGGACGTCCTCATCCCTAGTAGTCAAAGCCAAGTCCTCACAGGCTTGGGCAGCTTGAGCTTCCAAAGAATCATCCACTTCCAGCAGCGGTGCCAGGACATTGCTGCCATCGGCCTCCTGCCATCATGAATATATTTGATTAGATACACTACTCGCAGGCTGGATATCGATGTCCTCCAAAGAGTTGGATGCTTTTCGTTCGGAGCCGTCCTGCAAAAGCATTTGCATTGACATTCTCATAGAAACACACAACCTGTATCCTGGCCCTTCCCCCCTTGACCCTCTCCACCCTTCCCAACCCTCCCCCTTTCACCCCTGTCCCCCTTCCACTTCCACCGCCGAAAAAAAAGAGTCCTTCTTGGGGGCCTGGGTGGGTGGCACCAGCTGCCTGGCCGAGGCCTTGGCAGCTGCATCCCATGAATCGCTTTGCATAATAAATCCTTTATAAATCCCAAACCATTATAAACCCTTTTAAACCCTTATAAACCCTAAAACCCCTATAAACCCCAACCATATACCCTAAACCCTATATATGTATATATTTTTTTTAAACCTATATATCCCTATAAACCCTATATATATATATAAACCCATGTACCTTAATCCCCAAACCCCCAAACCCTAATTATACTACCTTTCTTTCGGCCAAGGAGCTTTGGCTGGGCTTCGACTGGCTTCGAGATGTGGCGCCTCGACCGATTTGCGAATTATATATATATATATATACATATATATAATGTATACATACAGAAATATACATATATATATATATATAAACAAAATATAATAATAGTAATATATATATATATATATATATTATATATATATATATATTATAGATAGAAATACGTACTTGTTTGCACCCTGCCTTCCGAATCGCAGCTTGTGTGGGCCTGATCTTGGGCTTCTCCTTCTGGGCCTCTGCAACCTCCCCCCCCCCCCCCCCCCCCCCCCCAACCCAGACGCAGGATTCAAACACTTGTTCCTGACCACCCAGTGTCCTGCGCACACTGCTCGGGGTTCTTCTCGGGAGGCGAAGCAGCATCCTTTAAGGCAGGTTCCCCCTAGACCATGACACACAGGACTTATAAGAAAGGAAACGATGGCGTAACACGTGTGGTCCTCTTCCGAGTCCGGAATGTCAATTGGTTGCACGTGCAAGTTCACATACAGAACCTCCAGATCACTGTCGTCATCATCACCCTCTTGGTCGGGATCCTTCATAGGATCAGAGAATCCTTGGTTGCATATGCGCAGGACACCTGCTTTTCCAAAATGAGTCATGATGAGACACAAAAACTCAAAATGACGAACGGAGCAGCCTTCCATGTGGACTTGGGTCTCCATGTTGTCCGGGGCCTCGAATTTTTTCCTGGTGCCTTTCCTTTTCAGGGAATCTGCCTGTTCGACGGCATCTTCCTTCCCAGCCTGCCCAAAAGACACCCACATACACACAACGAACTGGGACCACACGATATGTTCAAGGATTAACCCTGCCTCCGAATTCTGTTTCTTGACCTGGCGATGCACTTCCTTCAGGAATTGCATTCGTTCGTGCCCCGGCCTGGCAATTCTGTGGCTGATGAAGACAGTGATCATGATCTGTATATATACATTTCAAGCTGGCCTGGCGTTGTCGTTCTGATAGGCCCGCCGCATGATGTAGCTCATCAGGGCGCGGTGGAGGTTGCCTTCGATCAAGGCCCACGCCTGGGCAGATGTGCATGCACTCGGACCGATTTCTAGAATTATTACGCACACAATGCAAATGAACCCAATGAGGCACTTCAAAAAAAATTGTGAACTATCGCAGGCCTCGACTTCAGCCTTCAAGGCATTTTGCGACATGATTTTATAGTCGAGGGCCACAGCTGCCAACGCTGCCTCCCAAGAAAGGAAATTTAATCTCGATATCTATTATTATTCTATATTAGCATACTATTATTATTATTATTATTATTATTATTATTGTATATTTGTATTATGATGATGATTATTAAATTAGAAGCTAGTACTATTATAATATATAAATCTATTTATATATACAGCGTCGCTGCCCCCCCACCCCCCCCCCCCCCCCCCCCCCCCCCCCCAACCCCCCCAACCCCACCCATGGTAACCCCCCCCCCCCCCCCTGTTGGGGTTTGGGTTGAGGGTTTAGGGTTTATTAGGGTTTAGGGTTTAGGGTTTAGGGTTTATAGGTTTATAGGTTATAGTTTAGGCTTAGGTTTTAGGGTTCCCCCTGTGGGTGGTGTGGTTGGGGTTTCGGGTTCAGGGTTGAGGGTTAGGGGTTTAGGGGTTTTTTAGGGGTTTGGGGTTTGGGTTTTAGGGTTGAGGGTTTAGGGGTTTAGGGTTTAAAATTTATAAGGGTTTTAGGGGGGGTTGGGGGGGGGGGGGGGGGTGGGGGGGGTGGGGTGGGGGTGGGGGGGGGGGGGTGGGGGGGGTGGGGGGGGGGGGGGGGTTGGGGGGGGGGGGGGGGGGGGGGGGGGGGTGGGGGGTTGGGGGGGGGGTGGGGGTGGGGGGGGGGGGGGTGGGGGGGGGGGGGGGGGGGGGGGTACGAAACACGGGACACGGAACCATATATATATATATACAAATATTATATAGTTTTTAAAAAAAAATATATATATATATATATGTATATATCATATATATATATAATCTTACATAAATAAAAGTAGTAAGAGTATATATATGGCCTGGGCTTCCTTTTGGGTGGGCGTGGTAGGAAAGAGCGACAGCATCGAAATCATGAAGTCGTAGTTAATGTCCTTCTCCACCTCCATAACGGGACGTGCATGGGCAGAGAACAGTTTAAATAATACCTGGATCGAGGCTTCCTGAGTATGTTTCCCTGCCTCTGCTTCTGAGATCTTGGGGCCTGAGAGATCCAAGAAGGTGAACTGGACAGGAACCTGCACCGACCAAGGAAAATTCTTCTTGAACACATTGCCAGCAACTTTCACTCATGAACTTAGCATCCTGATTGAACCTGCCTTGCCCCGCTTTCTTGCTCGGAGCAGCTTACTGGGCCCAATGCCCGCTTTCTCGCAGATACTCTTGAACCTGGAGTCCACATATTCTTCTTCTTGGAGGATCGTCGCGTAGAGTTCCTGCAAGCACAGGGTAGCCTAGCTGACCCCTGAAACTTGTGAAATGGCCCACCTTCAGCATGAGCACCGTCTTTTCATCGGGTTTGGAGGTCGGCATTGCAAATCGAACGGTTATTAAACCCGACAATTCTTGGAGAAGCCCTGTTAGCCATCAGGTCTACCTGGAACATCTAGAATGTGAGGCTGCACGGGGAATTGGTAGGCCCACAGTGTATACCACTCGAATCAGCTCATGATGCTGCATCCAAGGAATTGCACCCGCAGCTGCAGCCGGTGCGTTTGCAGAACAAAACAAGTGCCTGCAAAGTGCGCATGTACGCACTCAGAACAAATATAATTGAGGCAGGATCGCATGATTCGGATGACCACGCATCACATGTTCTCTTTGATTCCAGGTGTCCTTAGCTAGAATTCCAGGAGAATGCTTATGAAACCCTAGCCTGAGACAGCAAAACTTGACAATCGTCTTTGCTTCCGGGCTTCTTTGGAGAAGAGATCGACGCATCGGCGTATTCTGATGCCATCGCACTTCAGAGCTTGCGCAAACGACCCGCAACCGTGATTTTGTCCTGTCCCATCCCTTTAAAAATCTAGCTGGCCCCAGCTAGTTTTCTACCATACACCCCATTGAACTCCCATGTCACAAAACTGCCTGAAGTCAAAGGCGGCGGTTGTGACACTCACGGCAACAGCCTGGTTAAACGGGGCGGTTGACGTTCAGGGTTAGGGTTTAGGGTTTTTAGGGTTTTTAGGGTTTTTAGGGTTTAGGGTTTAGGGTTTAGGGTTTAATTAGGGTTTAGGGTTTAGGGTTGCCTTTGACAGCCCGTTTGGCAACTGCTTTCACAGCCCGTTTGGAATAGCCCGTTTGGAAGGTGATGGATATTTAGAGGCAGCAATACCCATAGGCAGGGAGAAGGGGTTGGGGGGGGGGGGGGGGGGTTGGGGGGGGGGGGGGGGGGTTGGGGGGGGGGGGGGTGTTACGACATAGGGATTTGCTACCATCCCCTTTTGCCCTACAACACTGGCCAAGCAGGCCCTTATCCTAAACATACCCTAAACCCTAAACCCTAAACCCTAAACCCTTGTTACGGGTACTTTGGAGGTCTAGGTGTCAACCCTTAGCCCCTTAAACGCCTCACCCTGCACCTAGACTCTGGACCCTACACGATAAAACTCCCAGACCCTAAACCCTAAACCCTAAACCCTAAACCCTAAACCCTAAACCCTAAACCCTAAACCCTAAAGTTCGGGTTTAGGGTGTGAGGTTTAGGGAGCCCTCCTCAAGTTCATCACCCTCCTGGTCACAGGCGTCGAGGCGACGGGCCAGCGAGGCTGAAGACTGAGATTACATTAGGCAGGTCTTGAGTGACATTCAGGGTTAGGGTACATAAGACTGGGTTTAGGGTTTCGGGTTTAGGGTTTAGGGTTTAGGATTTTTTTCCGGGAGTGGCTCTGCAGAAGCATTATACAACCCATAGAAATCCATTTACGCACCCCGAAAGTTCTCCAAGTTGCGGCCCTGCAATGGGGGTGCCTGCAAATAGTACGGATTGGTCCTTGCGAAGAAGATTCCGTTACATGTAGGGACAAGCAGGGGCCAGTCAGATTTCAGTGGAGGTATCGGCGCCTTAAATTGGGACAGAAGCATAAGTGCCTTATATATAATTAGTATACCCTAAACCCTAAACCCTTGTTCCTGCCGATAAGGCCCTGGAAGCTGCCAAGCTTAGCTCGCACTCGCAGGCCGCCACTTAGGGTTTAGGGTTTAGGGCTTGGGGTTGAGGGTTTAGGGTTTAGGGCTTGGGGTCTGGAGTTTAGGGTTTAGGGGTTAGGGTTTAGGGTTAGGGTTTAGGGTTTAATTAGGGTTTAGGGTTTAGGCGAATCATGTATATGGTTCAGGATCTAGGGAGTTCAGGGATCATAGGGTTTAGGGAGTATCGGGGTTATAGAGTTTACAGGACTTTGGGTGGTTTACACACGGGGTTCTCGCGAAAGTCAACATATCTCAGGAGCTCACCTGAAGTGTCCTGGGAGTGCCGACCCGCGCAATCCCCTAAACCCGAAAATCTAAACCCTCTGCTGCAGGGTTTGATCAGGCTTGAGTCTTCTTAGTAGCTGAGTGAGCACACTTTATACCTTTTTGGGGCTACGAAAACCCCCTATAGAACTGAAAGTGTACACTTTTTAGGGGGTCTTATGAACTCAGCAACTAAGTCTTCGCCACGTCTGCATACTAAGTCAAAGGGCCTCCAAGTAGCCCCGGCCATCCCTAGCTAACCCATGCCTCGTGGTGATTCCAGCAGCATTCACCCTCCAAATGATCCCAGGAGTGCATACCCAAAGGGCCCTAAATGCAAGGTAGTTAAGGAAGTAACCTTGAAGCATACTAAGGGTCCCTATGTACTTCAAGGTATATTCCTGAAAGCAGGGGAATGCCAGGACCTTCAGCAAGCCGTTTGAATTCATGCCCAACCTGAATCGTTAGGGTTTAGGGCTTAGGGTTTAAGGGTTTAGGGTTTCGGGGTTACTAATAGTCGTGAAGTCTTTTTTTGCAGTTATGTCAGCTGCCATCTTCCAACTCTCAGTGACTTGGCTGACATAAGGAGATGTAAACCCAAACCCTAAACCCTAAACCCTAAACCCTATAGCGCATCTGCTCGTCTAAACCACCTTTGCAGCCCTTCAAGCCCCAATGAGCCACATGAGCCCATGCAAACAAACCCATGTGAGCCTCCAGAAGAGCCCCCCTAAACCCTAAACCCTAAACCCTAAACCCTCAACCCTAAACCCTAAACCCTAAACCCTCCGGGATGCACCATGTCGCACTCCATGAGAGACAAGTACTTTACGGAGATTTCCGCGACCCTGGCTGGCATCGCAAGCATCCGTGAGGTGCGCGAGAAAGGAGTGGGGATTGTTGCTGAGACCGACATCGAGGAAGGAACCCTCTTATGGACGGAGAAGCCGCTGTATTCCAGCATTGCCAGGCAGCTCCCGGACGGGGAGTATTCTGACCTGGCATGCGAGGCTTGCGGCTCCTACTGTGGGACGCTGCAGCTTCAGTTGAAACTCTTCGGAGGGTCGGTGTCTTATACAGAGGCTTGCAAAACCTTAGCTTCAGGAGAGGACTCAGAAATCAAGGAGCTGATGAAGAAGCCTGCCCTTCCTGGCGTCTCCGAAGTTGACTGCATCCTGACCGATGGGGCACCACTGGTCCTTGCCGTTGGAGATGGCCACGTCGTTTTCTGCGGCCAATCTTGTCGCAAAGGTTGGGAAGATGCGAACAAGAGCCTGCTGAAGGATGGGAAGCTGCAGAAAGTTCGACACTTGGTAGCCCAGTGGTACCCTTTACCCATTTTTTTGCTCTGGGTTCCCTTACAAAGTAACCAACCAAGAAAAAGGTGCCCTTCATTATGATATGTTTACTGGGCTACCAAGGACAGATCATGGTGGATGAAGACCTGGAGTACCTTGGCCTGGCCGCCGCTTTGAAGAATGGGGCAGAGGCCTCCGCCGGAGCAGGCCTGGATGCCCTCTGCGGGGACAAGTATCACAAGTGCATCGATAGAGATGGCCACGAAGAGCTGAGTGACGAGGAGTGGGAGAAGGAATGCATGCGGCCGTGTGAGAAGCTGGCCGGCGTCATGGGCATGGCCCCATCGGAAGTCAGCGAGATCATGGGCAAACTCTGCCGGAATTCCATCATGGTGACCTTCACGTCGCCAGTCTTCGAGTATCTCGCTGGTGTGAGTGGCTTGAAGAACAAGGATACCCCAGAGTTCGCCGATCTTATGAGTCTTGTGCGTCCTGTAGCATCGAAGTCGAAAAGTACTAACAAGGAGCCAGACTCCGCTTCTGAATCTGAATCCGAGCCTGAAGCGAAACTGGAGCTTGCAGACGGTGTTGTGCTGACGGACAAAGATGTTCCTCCGTACGCTGGCTGGGCAGTGTACCCTTTGCTATCTGCCGTGAATCACGCGTGTAAACCCAACTTGGACACCGAGTTCTTGCAAGGGGACTCTACACTGTCTGTGCTGGCCAAGCGTAAGATCCTCAAGGGTCAAGAACTCACCATCTGCTACTTAGTAGTAGAGTAGGTAACCTTTAACCTTTTTGGTGCAATATAATCCCCTTATCATCCCAAAGGTTAACCTTTAGTTCCCCTAGGTACTGGGCAACTTAGGCTATGCTGATCCGGACGATGACCAGCCGGAGAGGCAAGCGGCCCTGAGAAGTTATGGCTTCGTGTGCGGATGTGATTTGTGCGGGCAGGAGTTGCGCGCCATCGCCGGCCCGCCTGCCAAGAAGGCTAGGGCTAGGGCATAGATGCGGTGCTCAAACAGAGCTCCGGAAACAGCTCCAGACGTGACATGTTCGCAGGTAAACTCTGCATGGCACTGCATGCATACTGAGCTCATACATACATCTCGTGTATAGTACATGTATACTTTATTGTATCTAGTATTTAAATCCAGCATGCCATCGTTTATCAGGCGAGCTTCAGAGCTTTCAGTTCTTTGCCAAAGCCGTCTTGCACTTGCGACAAATCGCGCGAGCATGCTGCATCCGGTGCTCCTCATTCCCCTCTCCTTAAAATGGTACAGGGTTTAGGGTTTAGGGTTTAAGGATATGGGGGTTTCCGCAGTTTCGGGGGGGTTGTAGCGCCTTTGGCAAGGAGGCCTTTATTTCCGAGGATTATTTCGGGGGAAGGGTTTAGGGTTTAGAGGGCTTAGAGGTCTTAGGGTTCAGGCTTTAGCTGAAGCATTACAAGCAATTTGGGTACGGAGTTTTGCTGCCCTGCATCCCTCGCCAGGGTTAGGTAGGGTTTAGGGTTTAGGGGCTGAGGGTGACTCAATCTGGCAGCAGAGGGGGAGGCGGGGCCTCCATTCTTAAATGCTAGAAACCCTAAACCCCTGAACCCAAGACCACCTAACCCTAAACCCTTAACTCTAAACCACCCCCCAAAACCCTCAACCCCTTCACTAACCCTAAAGCCTTACACCCTAAACCCCTAAGACCTCAAACCCATGCAGGAGATCGGAGCCTACGCCCGAGTGTGTGCCAATGCGCAGCGATGCTCCCAGTCAGGTCCATCACCCCGACGTCCTGTCGTACCGTTGATTTGCTCTCAACCCTCAACCCTAAACGCTAAAACCCTAAGCAGTTGTCCCTAAACCCTAAACCCTAAACCCTAAACCCTAAACCCTAAACCCTAAACCCTAAACCCTAAACCCTAAACCCTAAACCCTAAACCCTAAACCCTAAACCCTAAACCCTAAGCCGCAGAAGGGGTTTCCCGTGCAGAGTTCGGTTGCAGTATTGTTTGGGTTTAGGCATTAGGGTTTAGGGCTCAGCTCTAATGCGTATAGCCCAATTTAGGTCCCTTATACTCTACTACTTTTACTTACAACTTGGGAGCTTGCCTCGCAATGAAGGCGGTTCGAGGATCTAAGTTTGAGGAGTCGGGGCCCAACACCCGACACCCAGCCTGGAGAGACCAACGCGAAACCTTCTTTTTGTTGGGTCCTGTAAGGGGCTTCAGATTCACAGCCTACAAACAAGTAGGTTTGGGTCTCTGAGTGTAGTCCCCAAAGAGCCCAGTACCCCTTAATTAAGGAATAGACCTTACCCAAAGGCTGTTATGTGGTACCTTTTTTGGTTTAGTATACTAGAATCCCCTATAACTAACCCAAATAGGAACTACATTGGAGCCTTTGGGTAGATTAAATCAGACTAAAGATCTCTATGGAGGTGTTGGGCTCTCTGGGCCAAGCCTGGGGCTCTTAGACTTCACGGACAAGAAGCCGACTAGGTGATTTTTGTCCCAAGCAGATATTCTCGCACTTCGGCGCTGTTCCAATCTCGACCCCCTAAACCCTAAACCCTAAACCCTAAACCCTAAACCCTAAACCCTAAACCCTAAACCCCTAAACCCCTAAACCCTAAACCCTAAACCCCTACACCCTAAACAGGTGCTCCAGGGTTTGCTGTCCAGGGTTGTGAAGATCCGTGCTGTGCCGATCCTCGCCGGAGTGTAGGGTTTGGGGTTTACGGATTATAGGGCTTAGGGTTTAGGGTTTAGGGTTTAGGGTTTAGGGTTTAGGGCAACTGCACGTCCCGCAAACATTTTGGATCGTGGTGAAGGCCATTTGGTTGACGTAGCGCGTGTTGACGTCGAGGTTGCCGTTCGCCGCGGCACCCGTAGGATGTAATTCGCACAGGCTCAGGGACGGCGCTGGTACTCACTATAGCCTATGCGACGATGTCGGAGAAGGGCGCACCCCTCGGCTAAGCTCGCGAGCTGAAACTATGCTAAAGGGACAGAGGCAGAGCGCCCTGTATACAAACAGGGCTTTGGCAGCCATGTCCCTTTTCCACAGCGCGCTGCACCTCAAGCCGGTCTACGAGGTGGGGGGTAACACAGCCTCCGAGTCACATTTTTGCAGTAGCTACCAGTGGTGCCCTTTTGCCCGTTTTAGCGTTTAGGGTTGAAGGTTTATAAGAGTTTAGGGTTTAGCGTCTCTGGGTTCCTGTATCAAAATAGACCACGCCAAGATATGGGACCATTCTTGGAATGTGGTTACTGGGCTACCAAGTACTACAGCACCGAGCAGGCAAAGGTTTGAACTTGTGTAGCGGTGTTGACAGTATGCAACCTCTGCTATAAAAGTACACGCTCACACTTGGTTATGCATCTATGAACTTCCTTACTGCCTAATCTTTCAGAGAATCCCAATACCAAACGCAGCGCGGTATCTTTGGCAAGGACACTAAACCCCTAAACCCTATAAACCCTCAAGGAAGCGATCAATGGCCGCGGATTCTTCTTTGGTCCGAGCGACTTGCTGAAGCTCTTCAAGGGCGGCAAGCCAACAATTCGCAAAGAGGACCTCGCAGAGTGTTTAGGGTTTAGGGTTCAGGGTTTAGGGTTTAGGGTTTAGCGTTGTCCAGCCGCACTTGCTGATGCGGGCGAACTGCGTAGTCTAGGAGACGACTTAATAAGAACAGGTATGTTGGATGGTGCGTGTTCAAGCTCTGCAGGGAGGAAAGGGGGACCTAAACCCTAAGCCCTAAGCCCTAGGCCCTAAACCCTAAACCCTAAACCCTAAACCCTAAACCCTAAACCCTAAACCCTAAACCCTAAACCCTAAACCCTAAACCCTAAACCCTAAACCTAGTTATTTAGGCCCTTGTATGACTGCGATGTCTGTCGGACTGGATGTCCTTCAGCTAGGCACCATCACGACCTTCGACTCGAAAGCATGGCCATGATATGGTGGCTGAAAGATCGATGCGCCTAGCAATGAAGGGTTTTAGGGTTTTAGGGTGTAGGGTTTTAGGGTTTTAGGGTTTTAGGGTTTTAGGGTTTTAGGGTTTTAGGGTTTTAGGGTTTTAGGGTTTTAGGGTTTTAGGGTTTTAGGGTTTTAGGGTTTTAGGGTTTTAGGGTTTTAGGGTTTCGGGGTTTAGGGGTTCAGAGTTGAGGGGTTTAGGGTGGGAGGACTACTCTTCCTTGCCCACACGGTGGTGCATCATCGATGAGAGAGTCTCCCGGCCAGCATCGTGAGCCCTGCACATGTGAAAAGCCGCAGCAGTTCTAGCATTGGCCCCCTTTCGAGGTCTATTTCTTCACTGGAGATTGGACGACAGTGACCCTAAACCCTAAACCCTAAACCCTAAACCGGGGTTTACGGGTTTAGGGGTTTGGGGCAGATCTATCGGGGATGCTGACGATGATTCGCTAGGTGGCCGTGATGTTGCAGGTGCCGACGATGGAACCCTGTGTACTGGTTGTTGAGGAAAGCGATATCAGAGGAATCCACAAACAACTTGACTATGCATGGTGAAGATGACGCCATCAATGTGTTTGGGCATTGCGGCCCTCGACCTTAGAACTTTAGTCTCTCATAGATTGACGCCCTACACCCTAAACCCCAAACCTTAAACCGTGAACCCTAAACCATGAACCCCTAACCCTGAACCATAAACCCGACTTCCAAAATCCAGAGGTGATCGATTTGGACCTACTTGCCAGTGGTGCCGCTGAGGAACACCCGGGCGGTCAGGCGGCTTGTTCTAAGGGGCCTGAAGCGCTCCTAGTTGTCTGCGAGATATCAGCATCAGACAGCGCATCAGGCAGATACAGATATCTACAAGTATGTATGTATTCGTATATACATATATATATATATATGTATACATATCTATATGTGTATATATATATACATATGTCTATATATGGAGCATACATACATATAAATAAAAGAGTATATATATAGATATATATGTATGTATGTATATATATATATATATGATGGCTTCATTCTGGGCAAGTTAGAAGCTTGCATGGAAGGCCGGCTGCATCCTCCATCCAGCAGATGTAAGATAATATTCCTAAACCCTAAACCCTAAACCCTAAGCCCTAAACCCTAAACGCTAAACCCTGAACCCCAAAGTACTGTGTGAGGCTGCGCTCAAGCTCGCTGAGGGCCGTGACGCAACGATGCTCTTCAGGCAGGCGAACGTGTCGGCTCAGGCTTCGTTTTTGTTAGCTTTGTTGTTTGAGGCTTCGGGTTGAGGGTGTTCAGGGTGTTGTTTAGGGTTTTGATTGCTAATTGTCCTGAACCCCGAGACCTAAAACTGAGTTTTAGGGCTCGGGGTTCAGGATCTGGCATCTCGAATTTAGATGGACGGGGCGACCCTGCAGCCTTAAGGCCTTCACAGCACCCCCCCCCCCCCCCCATAAAAAGCAGTTGGGGGTTTAGGGTTTAGGGTTTAGGGTCTTAGGTTTGTGTGGGCGGTGGCAGGGATCCTTTTCGCCACTTGGGTGGATGACTTTCAAGTACCTTCCCGGACATACCATTGGGGGCGGGGGTGGGGGGGGGTTTCCGAAAAATGGGGTGCGGTACTGTACCCTTTTGGCGGTTTCTAAACAAGGATGATAGTAATTTGGGGATAATGACACTGAAAAAGGTCCCGAAAAATAGGGTACCCTTCTTTGGGGGGTTCCTACAATAAGAATTCACAAGGATGATCGTGATTAGGGTATATCAGGGGCACCCCTATTTTGGGAAATGCCCATATTTGGGTCTAGGGTTTAGGGTTTCGGCTAGTTCTCTAAATTCGGATCCCTCTTGAAACCCTAGAAAGTGCGGCACCCTTACGATAACGACCCCCCACAAAGGGACCCTAATTTAGGGAACTACACATGGATGTAGTAGGCTGTGGAAGCCAAGAAGGGCGGCCCCAAAATTAGCGATCGTAATTCTTGTAAGTCGATAAGGTAGCAAAAAATGCAAACGATGAGGTTTACGCACTGGCATACTGCTGTGCAGCATGATAACTAACCAGGATTTGCCGGTATGCCGTGTAAAAAGGCAAGAAACGACAAGGAAGGGAGTTCCATGCCAGCCCATATAGTCAGTTAGTTGTTCACTGAGCAAGACCCTACACACCTAAACCCTAAACCCTAAGCCCTAAACCCTAAGCCCTAAGCCCTAAACCCTGTAAACCCTAAACTCTAAACCTCGTTAAGACCCAACCCCTGGGTACCTTTCGCCGCTTCCAGGTCAACCCATGCGCTGGCCCGTAAGGAGCCGAGAAAGGGGTTCTCGGGGTTGAGCGTTTCGTTTAGGGTTTAGGGTTTATAGAGTTTAGGGTTTCGGGTTTAGGGTTTAGGTTTAGGGTTCAGGGGTAGATGAGTTCCTGGATTGGCCGTTAGGCCTTCTTGTTCTCCTTGTAGGTTGAAGGGTTTAGGACTTCATTCAGGTTTCAAAAGATCTGAGGGAGTAATAGCCCATCCAGGTTGAAACCGGAAGCTGTTCTTTGTGTCTTTGCGACTGCGCGTAGGGAACACGAAGCCGTGGCTAAACCCTCTCAGGCTGTATAGTGTGCTCAGGCGCTTTGCCGCATGGAGCACACGAGCCCTCTAGTGTCATTCGCACACTTAGTAGTAGAGTAGTTAACTCGTAACCTTTTTGGGGTAATATAATCCCCTTAGAATCCCAAAGATTAACCTTTAGTTCCCTCAGGTTACTGGACAACTAAGCACATACACCCTTAACCATTCGCGTCGCACAAGAGGAGGAACACCTGGGGGGGGGGGGGGCACCTGGGGGGTGCAAAGGTAGCTATAAGCAGGGCTGTTAAGTCCCCTGAATAGGGTAACCATACACCTAAACCCTAAACCCTAAACCCTAATAGCCCTACCTGTAGCTCAGCATGAACCTCCCAGTAGGGGTCAGTTCTTCTTTCTGAAAGCCCTGCATCCTAGCCCTGGCGCAGGAGATGCTATCGTACTGGCTGAAGAAATGCACGGCTCCTCTCCTGAATGGCACAGCCAGGACGGGCTATTCTACCCTATAACCCCTTAAAGAGAGGCCCTTTATAAGGTTGATTCTGGGGATTATAGGGCCCAATAGCCCGTCCTGGAGACTCCTAAACTTCGAGGTTCTTCATGTTGCGTTCAGATGGGGGTTTCCGAAATTAAGGGGTACCTGTTCGGGGTCCTTATTATAAGGGAATCCCACTATTTGGGGGTCTGTATAAGGGGTCCGCTATCTTCGTAAATCCCCAGATCGGGATTCGAGTGCTTATCACAGCTACCGAGCCCACTTGTGCTGCAGCACAAGAAGAGAGAACGTCTGTCTCATTCAAGTTCCCACAAGTGCAAGAGCATCACAAAGCTTGCACCTAAAACCCCTAAACACACAAGCTCTAAATCCTTCAAGCTTGAACCAGCCCGATGCAAACCTGAAGCTTCTTCGGAGTCCCTCAGCCACTGTTGCGTGGAAGGCCCTAAAAGCACAGAGGGACGCAAAAAGACCCTAATGTAGAGAACGGCCCATTGTTAGAACCGCCTTTAACACCCTAAACCCCTAAACCCCTAAACCCCCAAACCCCAACCCCCTAAACCCCCTAAACCCCCTAAACCCCCTAAACCCCTAAACCCCTAAACCCCTAAACCCTAAACCCTAAATCCTAAACCCTAAACCCCTAAACCCCCTATATAAACCCCCTAAACCCCTAAACCTCGAAACCCCGAAACCCCGAAACCCCGAAACCCCTAAACCCCTAAACCCCTAAACCGCTAAACCCCTAAACCCCCAAACCCCTAAACCCCTAAACCCCTAAACCCCTAAACCCTAAACCATAAACCCTAAACCCTAAACCCTAAACCCTAAACCCTAAACCCTAAACCCTAACCCTAAACCCTAAACCCCCCCAAAAAATCGCCCTAACCCAAGGTTGGCAGCCTCGCCGAGTTCCCGGAGGCTTCAAAGGCGCTCGCCGCCTCCGGCGCCGAAGGAGACTTCGGCCGAATTTATTGGTTTGGGTCTGTTTGGGGTTTAGGGTTTAGGGTTTAGGGTTTAGGGTTTAGGGTTTAGGGTTTAGGGTTTAGGGTTTAGGGTTTAGGGTTTAGGGTTTAGGGTTCAGGTTTTGGTGGGTTTCGGGTTTCGCGGTTTAGGGGCTTAGGGGCATGTGCTCTCTAGAGCTGAGGGGTTTCGGGGCTTAGAGGGCTAATAGGCCTCTACTTCGGAGCCCTTAAGCTTTGAGATCCTCTGAGGGAATAGAAGGGCCATACTAGGAGTATCCCTAAACCCTAAACCCTAGACCCTAAACCCTAAACCCTAAACCCTAAACCCTAAACCCTAAACCCTAAACCCTAAACCCTAAACTTAAGGGCCATATTAGGAGTACATTGAAGGCAACTTTTAGGGGTACAAGCGTCGGCGTACGAGCCTGGTTCAGGGTTTGTGTTTAGGGTTTAGGGTTGAGGGTTTAGGGTTTAGGGTTTAGGGTTTGGGTTTGGGGTTTGGGGCTTGGGGCTTGGGGTTTGGGGTTTGGGGTGTCTACAGGGGACTTAGGGGCGTTTCGAGGTTTTGAAAGTGTTGTTTGGTTTGCGGGTGTTCGGTTCATTAGGGTTTTTCAGGTTCTTTCGGATTTTCGTTCGGGGTTTAAGGGGTTTACATTGTGCTAGGGGTTTTTAGGGGCTTTAGAGGTTTCAAAGGTTTAAGGTTTAGGTTGAGGGTGTTCGAGGCGTTCTTGTGGGTTTGCACGTGTTTTAGAGGTTAGGATTCTGTTACCTTTTTGCTCTTCTTGAGTTCTAGGTTCCCACTCGAATAGTAGTCAACCCGCAAAGGGTTTAGGGTTTAGGGTTTAGGGTAGGGTTTCCCTTATTCTTAATATGGTTACGGGGCTACCTAGGTTCAGGTGGCCTTATGGGCTTTAGGGGTTTCGGGTTCAAGGTTTGGGCCAGGATTTTTTGGTGGGTTTAAGGGCTGTAAGCTATCGGTTGTAGGGGTTTATGGGTTTCAGGGTTCAGGGGGTACGGTGATTTGGGGTTTAAGAGATTGGGTGCTTAGGGGAGTTTAGGGATTTGCGGTGTAGGGTTAGGAGACTTAGATTTTTGTGTCAGGGAGTAGGGAGTTTTGTTCGGGGTTTTAGGGGGGGGGGGGGGCTTGGGGTTTTGGATTAGGGTGTAGGGTGCAGGCTGAAATTTAACCCGACTGTTTGATTTACGGATTCTTATAGTAAATATGGTCTTAAGTCTGACGTTACATGTAGGCCTTCAGGGTGCACTGTAGACTCCAGAGCGAAACCCTGAAGCTACCCTAAAACCCCTGGAACCCAAAATCCCTTAAACCATCTTGTCGATCCCACAAACCCCTAAACCGCGCAAGCCCGCACCCCCCCCCCCGCCCCCCCCGCCCCGCCCTAAACCCTAAACCCGAAACCCTAAACCCTAAACCCTAAACCCTAACCCTAAACCCTGAACCCTGAACCCTCAACCCTGAACCCTGAACCCTGAACCCTAAGCCCCAAACCCCAAACCCTCAACCCCAAACCCTAAACCCCAAACCCGAAACCCTAAACCCCAAACCCTACCAAACCCCAATCCCTAAACCCCAAACCCCAAACCCTAAACCCCAAACCCCTAAACCCCAAACCCTAAACCCGAAACCCCAAACCCTAAACCCTAAACCCTAAACCCTAAACCCTAAACCCTAAACCTAAACCCTAAACCCTAAACCCTAAACCCTAAACCCTAAACCCTAAACCCTAAAGCCCAAGGCAGCTTCAGCCCCACCGACTCGCCTTTCGCGGCCGAGCTCACCGGCGCAGCGCGCGCCTACTTCGAGCGTTTGGCGGCGGAAGCTGGGCCTTGAGAGGGTTTAGGGTTTAGGGTTTAGGGTTTAGGGTTTGAAGTTTTGGGCGTGAGGGTTTCGGGTTTAGGGTTCAGTGTTTAGGGTTTGGGGTTTCGGGCGCAGGCTTTCGGGTTTAGGGTTTAGGTTTCGGGTTCAGTGTTTAGGGTTGAGGGGTCAGGCTTGAGGGTTCATGGTTCAGGATTCAGGGTTTAGGGTTTAGGGCTTAGGGTTTTGAATGTGTGTGTGTGTGTTCGGGAGGAGGGGGGATGGATCTAAGTTAGGGCGTACGTAGGTTTGAGGTTTAGGGCTGGTAGTGGTAATCTAAGCTGTGGTCTAGCATGCCATAGTTGGGATCCCGAAGAGGGTCCATAATTTGACCAGCACCTTCATCTACTCCCCTAAGCCCTAAACTTCTAAACTGATCAACACCATCATCTACTCTACTCGAGCAGAGAGGCGGCTTTAGGAGCCACCTGCCCCGAAAATCTGCAGGGCTCTCACATGCTACAGATGAACGGGATAGACGATATACGACCACATGCTTTATTCGTTTAAAGCCTAGACCCTAGACCCTAGACCCTAAACCCTAAACCCTAAACCCTAAACCCCGCTTGAAGCCTCCATAAATGCAGGATGCGACGCATGAGAAGCTAAGGAGCGGGGCGTGACAGTTCGCCAAGCTTTGAAGGCTCCCTTATGGAAGTGGGCACTCATCGCCTTCTTATGGGCACCTTGAAGACCAGATGGGTTTGGGGTTTAGGGTTTACGGTTTAGGGTTTAGGGCCCCAGAAGGGTTTGTGGTGCATACACCTCAAGACAGGGAATACAGTAGTAGGGAGTACTCGGACCCAGAGTAGGCCCTTGTTTCCATTTTTGGGGGTTTGAGCTCCCTTACAAGCCCCTGTATAAACTTAACCAAAAAGGGCACACCCTTTTGATTCCTAGGTTACTGTTGGGTTAGGGTATATGACCCCCAATTTTGGGGTTCATTCTCCAAGGCAGTCTACATCTTCTCCTTCTACCACTGGATTCAGGGAGCCTACTTGGGGCTGCTGCTCCTCCCCTGGGTAGGCGCCCTCGCCACCTTTCACACCTTCCACGACGCGTCCCACGGAGCCCTCTCCACGAAAGCTTGGGTGAATGAGCTCCTAACCTTTTCGGGCTTCCTTATCGGTGCGCCCCACGAATGGTACTGGCAACACGTTGCGTGCCACCATGTGTGGACCAACATCGCGGATGCGGATCCGGATGCGAAGCACGTGCGCCGCTGGGTTCGGCCTGGCAAGTTCCCGCCACCACTGGCTGTAGTGCCGGTGCTTTGGGCCATAGCCGTGCCTATCGGTTTGCAGGTGCTGTACTCGTATCGCTACCTGAATGCAGCCTTCGGACTGTCTTTGAAGAAGCTGGGTAGCTGCATGAGTACACTTTACACTTTTGGGATACTATAATCCCCTATAGAATTGCAAGTGTACACTTTTTGTGGGGCTTCTGAGCTAAACCTTAAACCCTCAACCCTAAACCCTAAGCCCTGCTTATGCACTCAGCAACTAAGGAAGGATGTTCCTCCGGAGGTCACAGGCACATCGCTCCTGGCCTTGGTACTCCAGCGCCTGATTTTCTATGTCTGGCCAGTTTCTGGGTTGTGCTTTGGGATATTGTTTTGATTTCCCTTCTTTCCTTGAACCCTAAACCCTAAACCCTAAACCCTAAACCCTAAACCCTAAACCCTAAACCCTAAAGGGTTTGAAGCACAGCCCAGGTTTGGCGGTTCGGATTCTCAGGCGTCTTCTGGGCCGCCTACCCCGCCGCCGTGTTCTCCTTGCTCTTCATGCTGAACACTCAGCTGCTAGGTAGGCCCCTGGGATATTTTCTTTTATTGATTCCTGAACCCCTAAACCCTAAACCCTAAACCCTAAACCCTAAACCCTAAACCCTAAACCCTAAACCCTAAACCCTAAACCTTCTTAGGCTGGCACACTTGAACCACACCACGGATGGTGAAGCTGATGATGTCGCCTCAGAGTCTAGGATGCCCAGTGCAGTACCCTTATTCCCTTTTGGGGGGGGTTTAGGGTTTAGGGTTTAGGGTTTATGGTTTAGGGTTTAGGGTTTAGGGTGCCCCGTGTAGTACCCTTACTCACTTACTCCCTTTGTTGGGGGTTTTAGGTTCCCTAGTTATCAACCCTTTAAGCCAAAAAGGGCAGTTTAGGGTTTAGGGTTTAGGGTAAGGGTTTAGGGTTTAGGGTTTAGGGTTTAGGGTTTAGGGTTTAGGGTTTAGGGTTTAGGGTTTAGGTTTTAGGGCTTAGGATAAAGTTCAGGGTTTGGGGTTTAGGGTTTAGGGTTTAGGGTTCCTTTCTAATCCTAGGTTGCTGGACAACCTAGGAGTGTTGGTACAAGCATCAGCTGACGCACAGCGTCGACTTCGCAGTGAGGTCGCCTCTCCACTGGTTCATGTCAGGAGGCCTGAACCTACAATCTGTACATCATTGCCTCCTGGCAGCCCAGTGGTGCCCTTTACTACCCTTTTTTTTCTTTGGGGTTCTGGGATTCCTTTTTAAAGATAAGAGGCCTTGGTAGCCCAGTGGTGCCCTTTACTACCCTTTTTTGGGGGGTTGCTGGGGTTCCTTTATTGAAGAGGCCTTAACCTACAATCTGTACATCATCATTGCCTCTTGGTAGCCCAGTTCTTGCCCTTTGCCCCTTTTTTTGGTTCTGGGCTATATATATATATATATATATACCTATATCTATATCTATATCTATATATATATATAAACTTAACCAACCAAAACCAAAAAACCCTTAATTTGGCATGGTTGCTGGGCTACCCAAGGCTTTCCCACAGTGGACCACAGCCACTTGCCTCAGCTGCGGAGGGTGATGCTCAAGGTCTGCCACAAGCACCTTGGACCCAGAGTAGGGCCCTGATTTCCCTTTTTTGGGGGCGTAGGTTCCCTTAGGAAGCCACTGAAAGCCATAAAAAAAGGGTAGCCTTGTTGATTACTAGGCTATTTTAGACCCTAAACCCTAAACCCTAAACCCTAAACCCTAAACCCTAAAGGGTAGGTTACTCCTGGGTCTAGGCATGGAGTACAGATGCACACCTTCGACAGCTACAGCATGGGCGTGGTCTCTCACCTTCAGCACCTGGCGACCGGTGCCTCCGAGCGGCCGATGGCCCAGCAGGTGCCTAGGTAAGCCATTTTGGGGTTTAGGGTTTAGGGTTTAGGGTTTAGGGTTTAGGGTTTAGGGTTTAGGGTTCCCTTGTCTTGGGTTTAACAAGATCATATTTTTGGAAACATCTTGTCAGAGGGTTCTAAAGTCCATCCTAGGTGCCCAGCTCCCAGGCCGCCCTCTCCGCGCACGACGCAAGCGTCGGAGTTCCGGGCGAGGGGGCCGCCAAGCCCGCGTCCGGAATGCCCAACGGCGCCCAGGCCACACCCAACGGACACGACCAGGAGGGCGATGGACCCAAGCCTGTGGCTTCTGGGCAGTGAATTAGGGCTTAGGGTTTAGGGTTTGGGGTTTAGGGCTTAGGGCTTAGGGCTTAGGTTTTAGGGTTTAGGGCTTAGGGTTTCGAAGCAGTTTTTTTTTGAAGCTGAGAAGTCGAGTGAGCCTGAGTGAAGCATGAATCCGATACGCATCCCAAAGCTAAAATCTTCCGAAGTATGGGCTTCCTACAGCACGAAACCTTAACACCCATCAGCCCTTAAATTCCTGGGTTTTCGGGCATATGGGTGTGGGTGTTTGGGAAAAAGTTCTCGGGGGCCTTTTGAAGGGTTTTGCAGGGCCTTGTGGCTTGGGATGTTCCCCCTGATACTATCGGTCCTTAATGGAGTAGGGCTTGATTGCAATAGGGGGTACGATAATCCCTTTTAAGGATTAGTATAAGAAAGGAACATCCCAACCCTAAACCCTAAACCCTAAACTCTAAACCCTAAACCCCAAACCCTAAACCCTAAACCCTGTTAGTAAAAGGGAGGAACATCCCAACTTGTGGCTTCAGAGCCTCCAAACGGTCCCAGGCCGGCAAGGCCTCCGCCGGCACTGCGGGCGAGTCGGCCGAGGGCAAGCCGCGAGTTTGCGTAGTCGGCTCAGGCACGGGGGTTTAGAGTCTAGGGTTTAGGGTTTAGGGGTTACTTCGGATTAAGTATGAATCTCTTTATCTTGCTGCGTTGCGCATGCAGTTCTTGAATAGCTAGATATGCATGGAGTGACTAAGCAATGTGTATCTTAGCAAATGCACATTTTTGGTAGCCTAGTAGTACCTTGACCTTTGTTGCTTATGGGTTCCCTCAAAGAGTAACAAACCAAGAAAAAGGTACCCTTGCTACGATATGGTTACTGGGCTACTAAGCATTTACCCCGAAGCCCAAAGCCCTGGCACATATCCGATCAGGCATCGCTGGGAATGCTGCCGCCTACATGCTACGGCACGAGTATGACGTGGTGCTCTGCGAGAAGGACTTCCCTAAAAAGTCGGGATGTTCCCCCTTACACTAACAGTCCTAACTTACTAGGGGTTATAGTACCCCGTATGATAATCCCAATTAAGGACAGTTAGTATAACGGGGAACATCCCAACGTATAAGGCGCCAAGGAGGACGATTACTTCGAGGGTTTGAGCCGAAAGACCATACCATGTCATGGGTCTGGGAGCTCTGCGGCGGCGCAAGCGATGCAGAATTTCCCACTGTAGTGTTGGGTTTAGGGTTTTAGGGTTTTAGGGTTTTAGGGTTTAGGGTTTAGGGTTTAGGGTTTAGGGTTTAGGGTCTAGGGTCTAGGGTCTAGGGTCTAGGGTCTAGGGTCTAGGGTCTGCTTTGTGTTTGTGTTTCTGCAATGCGTGGTGAACAAGGCACTTGGGGGGTAGTTCTTTGGGAACCTAGTGTATGGGCTTTAGTGTAGTCTAGCTGATACAAATCGACATAGGAGCTGAGATATCAGGGTCGATGAGGCCTTCTCATTCGGGGTGCAGTCCTACTGAAGACGGCAGCAGGCCCTAAAACCCTAAACCCTAAACCCTAAACCCTAAAACCCTAAACCCTAAGCCTTAAACCGCGCGAGCCAGCGCTCTCCAGGACGACCGGCCTGGAGGCAGGGTCCCAGCTTCGAGGGCTCAATGGGGGGTTGAAGGGCTTTGTGAGTGTGTTTGTGTGAGTGCGCGTGCGTGCGTGCGTGTGCGTTAGTGTAAGTAGGCAAAAAACAAGTAGTTGCATGAGCATTTCTATGTATGTATGATGAGTGTGAAGTCTCTTAAGTCTCTCTCTCTCTCTCTCTCTTTCCGCCTGGCTGCCTGCCTGGATGTTTGTCAGTCTGTGTTTGTCACTGTTTGTCTGTCTGCGTCTTTGTCTGTCTCTGTCTGTTTGTCGATGTCTCTCTCCGTGTCTCGTTGCGTGCTTACAGGCAGGCACAGAGCGTAGTATGGATGCATGAGTTCTGAGCAGAATGCCAGTGGAAGAAGTCGCAGGTCACGCGCACACCATCGCAGCGGGGTCGGAAAAGCAGAGGGTGGACATCGGCTTTCAGGCGTGGAAAAATCATGAGTTGAGGGATTTTGCCGGGTTTTGCATACAGCTGTGGGATGCGATGCTAACATTTCTTCTTTTGCGGCCACTACTGGCCCGTGGAAAGGTCTTCAACTTCAGCAACTACCCCTTGCTGTCGAAGCTCTTCGATGAGCTGGGGGTCGAGACTATCCAGTCGGATATGTCTTTGTCCGTGGCCGCCCGAGGCGTGACCGATACCTGGCGGCATCCTAGATGGAGAGTTGGAAGGTTGATCTATCTTCAGATTCATACTCATTCTCTTTTATGTGTGTGTGTGTGTGTGTTTATATGTGTTCGTATGCGGATCGGCATGGTGGATGGAAGAAAGCTTGAACCAGCTGCGTCATCTGAGCAGAGGGCGTGAAATCTCGCATGCCCACGAGCCCGCAACCTTTCCGTTCAACCTTGGCTCGTGACCTCAGCTCTGCCCTAGGCAGTACCCAAAGGCTCCTATGTAGTACCTTTTTGGGGTAGTATACTAGAATCCCTATAACTAACCCAAAAAGGAAGGGTAGTATACTAGAATCCCTATAACTAACCCAAAAAGGAAGGGTAGTATACTAGAATCCCATAACTAACCCAAAAAGGAACTGCATTGGAGCCTTTGGGTAGACTCTTGGGGTTCTCAGCGCCCGTTGCTGTCTGAAGATGTCCGGCTAGTACTAGAGCGGAGATGGGCCTTCCAGGCTTCCCATGGTTTAGGGTTTAGGGTTTAGGGTTTAGGGTTTAGGGCTTAGGGTTTAGGGTTTAGGGTTTAGGGTTTCGCTTTGTCTCCCTTTGCCTGCCTTAATTTCTCAAAGTACTGGTCTGCTGCTGTTCGGGGAGCTTCGCTGGTGTCATGTCATGCTCAGACGGTGCGAATTTCACAAGACGTCCTCCACCCTTCGCGTGTTTAGGATTTAGGGCTTCTAAATTGGCACACTACCGAGAGTATCGGGTACCCAAAAAACGGCGAATAATTTGGATCAAGACCAAGCCGCTGTTGCCATTGCAGGCATGGGGTATTTTAAGGTAGATGCTACGCAGACTGAACGTGGAACCAGAGACGTAGTAAACAGGCCACAGTCCTAAGCCTTACTGGTAAAAAATGCCACAACCCAGAAAAAGGACTTATTTTCTACATACTTACGGGGGAGTTTAGTCCTAAACCTTAAACCCCTAGCACTCTCAGTTGCGACACCGAGCTTTTAAAGAACCGGTGCAGGGGCCTTGGGTTTCAGGGGCGAACTCAGTCCTGCAGTCAGGACGTCCAGGATTTCGAGTGGTCTTCAAAGTCCCTGTTTCCGACATGGTCGGACGTCTTCAGCTTGCGTGGTTGGAGGCGGCTGTACCTCGGAAGCATGGCCCTAAGGCTGAGACTTCAAAATGTGCATCCCGCTTGGCTGTTGGGATGTTTGGTATATTTTCCTTTGTTTCTGGTAGGGTCGAAGTGGGTCCATTTTAGGACATTTTTTTAGAGGTTCTAGGGACCAACCTAGTTGCAACAGGGCAAGCAAGATAGGTTCGTAGGACCGGGTGCTTCCTGGAATATAAGATGCCTTGACAGGGTGTTCGGGATGTGCGCAGTTTTGACACTCTCAGAGCCCTACACAAAAACCCTACACATGCGCAGGCCCATCCTGATCTGGTTGTTTGTAGTTCTTAAATTTCGTAAGACAGGAGGCTGAGCCCGAGACATTTTGCGGAGTGGCTTTCACCCTAGACGGTGGTCTTTGGCAGAACCCTTGCCACAGCTTTGCTTCCAATTCTTATTGTCGTGGTTCGTGGAAACCTGCAGGTATGAGATTCTATGCTTTGAGCGTGCTGCTCATGCTGCTCTCCATGTGCCCTTGATGAGCATTTGAAGTTTTCAGGGTTTTGGGTTGCTTGGCTGTGCGACTTGCGAACAGCAGAGCGGATTGCGCCTCAGGTCAAAGAGAGACTTAATGAGCTTTGTCTTGGTCATGGTACTGTAACCCCTCATGAGATCATGATTAGGCTATCAATCTAAGCCCCTCTGGCCGCCCCCCCACCCCCCCGTCTCAGGACCGAAAGGTCTTCAACTCACGAAGCTATTCAAGGGTGGAATTGAGCATTTTCCAAGACCTAAACATCAGAAGAAAACTCATTCAAACTCAATTGTCATTAAAGAATTCGGACTGCGTTTCCCAAACCCGAGACCCCTGTCTTAAGAAAGCCTGGTCCCGGATCCGGATGTCTGCAGGAGAGGGGGGGGGGGGTGTTCCAGTATTAGGGGGAAGGGATTACAGCGAGCGTGTCATCGCACTCAGTCTAGCTTGGCCTTGAAACCCCACTAAACCCCAAACCCAAGACCCTAAACCCTAAACCTTAAACCCTAAACCCTAAACCCTAAACCCTAGAAAGCCCAAACCGATCTTTCTGCGGTGATGGTCGTCGAACACCGCTTTTGCTTCTCGCAGGTGCATCCTGAGACCCTGGGAGCTCCTTAGTAGCTGAATGAGTACAACTTTACACTTGTTGGGGTTTAGGGTTTAGGGTTTAGGGTTTAGGGTTTAGGGTTTAGGGTTTAGGGTTTAGGGTTTGAAAGTGTGCACTTTTTGTGGGCGCTTCTGAACTCAGCCACGAAGGATCAGACCATGAAGTCCTGGCTGCTAAGCCAAGGCTTCAGCACCTCGGTGCAGGCAAAAGGCCACGAAGGGGTTGAAGGTTTGTGGGGTTTACTTGAAGGTTCATGGTACTTCCTAACCACTTATATCTGTACTTATAACCCTACCTAAAAGGCCTTATAGGGGTTATCCCAATTATAAATAGGGTTATAAGCCCAGTTATAAGTGGTTATTGAGTCCCATGAACCTCCAAGTATAGGGTGTTAAGGGTTTAAACTAATCGGGTTTATAAGAGGGTTATAGGGTGGTAAGGGTTCAATTTATAGGGTCTATTTTTATAGGGTTTATGTTTATAGGGTTTAAAGGGTTTTTCCGAGGGTTTAGAGGGTTTATGGGTTTATGGGGTTGAGTCGTCTTTTTAGGGTTTAAATTAAAGGGTTCAGGGTAGAGTAGGGATAGAGTAGAGAGGGCACCCTGAACTGAACCCTCAACCACGGTAGTAGCCTTGCAACTCCATCATCCTGAGCAGCGCCTAGCGGCGCAGCCCTCCCAGCTGTCCATTCCGCAGGGGGCTAGGTTTAGGGTTTAGGGTTTAGGGTTTGGGGTCTAGGGTTTAGGGTTCCGGGTTTAGGGTTTAGGGTTTAGGGTCTAGGGTCTAGGGTTTAGGGTTTAGGGTTTAGGGCATGCGGTCGATGGCCCTCGGGCGTTTAGCAGGAACTGGTCGTTCGAACGACCTGAGTGTAGAGTTCGCCGCCCATAAGCCCTAAACCCTAAACCCCTAAACCCTCGAAGGGGAAGAAGGGAACGCAAGGACAAGCAGGCTTTCTGTTGTCTTCACCCCTTCCATAGGCCTAAACCTGGAATCTACTGGTGAGTTGGCCATGGTAGATTAGAACAACCCTAAACCCTAAACCGACCCCAAACTCTGAACCCTAGTCCGCAAACCCTAAACCCTCAACTCTCAACCCTAAACCCCAAACCCCAAACCCTAAACCCTAAACTCTAAACCCTAAACCCTACACCCTACACCCTAAACCCAGACCCCTAACACCCAGGCCAGCAGCTCATCGATGAGTACATCGCACCGATGGGCGCCGCCCTCTGGAGCTGTTCCATGGATGAGCCTCGGCAGGTAGGGTTTAGGGTTTAGGGTTTAGGGTTTAGGGTTTAGGGTTTAGGGTTTAGGGTTTAGGGTTTAGGGTCTAGGGTTTAGGGTTTAGGGTTTAGGTTTAGGGTTTAGGGTTTAGGGTTCAGGGTTTAGGGTTCAGGGTTCAGGGTCAGGGTTCAGGGTTCAGGGTTCAGGGTTCAGGGTTCAGGGTTCAGGGTTCAGGGTTCAGGGTTTAGTCTATTCCTTAAGGGTTGGGCTCTTTGTGCCTTTAGAGTTTAGGGTTCGAAGAGGTTCCCCTAGCTGAGGAGTAGCCTTCATTCATTGGTCCCTCTGGTTTAGGGGCCTTTAGCATTATTGTGAGTACGTAGTTCCAAGAAATTCCAAGCTCTTTACGAGGAATAGCTTTGAGTCCCTATCCTAAGTTCAGGAGTACCTGCTAGATAGCTCATATGGGTCCTTTATGAACTTACCCTAAGCCCTTAACCCCCAAACCCTAAACCCGCGACCACAGCATGTACAGGTATTAAATCTTGCGCTTTCGGTTCGCAGGTGGGCCCTTTGGAATATGTCAAGAATGACTTACGCGGCTTCTGTACCCTTAAGCACGCCGAAATCCTAAAGCCTTATACGGGATCCTGTATGCCCAAGCACCCCGTAATGTTAAAGCCGTATAAGGGAGTTTTAAAGTTCACCTGGGTTCTCATATCTCCAATGCACGAATCTGCAAAGCCAGCATAGCGGCTTCTGCACCCGGGACATGACCTCTGCACACGAAGCTGTGAGGGCGACCCCCTTTGGAATCCTCATTTGAGCGACAGGCAATAGACTCCGAACAGGACAACGCTTGACGAGAGGGTTTGAGAACCGTAGGGAGAGAGAAGCTGTGCATGGTGTGGAAAGCGAGAACGTTCCTGGTACAAGGGCCATGCTTGATAAAGCTGGCCTGCGATAACGTGAAATACCAAAAGCGATAAGGCTGCAGAACGTCAGACTCCAAGTTCAGAATCCAGCCGAACCTCAGTTCCAGTAATAAGCCAGTACTGAAAATAAATGAAGATCCAGCCGGGATCCAGTACTAAGCCAGTACTGAACATCAACGATCCAGCCGGGATCATGAAAACCTCGATTCCAGTACTAAGCCAGTACTGAGAATCAACCATCGTCGAGATCGCGAAAACCTCGAAGCCAGTACTGAAAATCAACGATAGTCCAGCCGAGATCGCGAAAACCTCGATTCCAGTATTAAGCCAGTACTGAGAATCAACGACAGTCCAGCCGGGATCATGAAAACCTCGATTCCAGTACTAAGCCAGTGCTGAACAAACAATCCCATGAAGCCCTGTGCTTAGGAAGGCTGGCCTGCGATAACGCGAAATACCAAAAGCGATAACAACAGCTGCAAAGCCGCGGCAGCAGCTTTGAATTTTGCCGCTCGCTCATTTGTATGCTAACTGACGAAGTTTGCAATCTAGGATTATCATGTTTAGGACTTAGTGTTCAAGGCTTGGGACGCGTCTTGTTGCCGCTTTGCTGTTGATTTTCTTTCTGAAGGTTGTGAATCATTTTGCGAGCGCGGCACCTCCCTGTGAACTGGAGTCCCCTGTCTATTCAAACATCTCGAAAGCACAAGACTCCAAAAGTGGCTGTAGTTCAGAATCAGCCCCACATTCAAAATTGCCCCTAACCCCTAAACCCCAAACCCTAAACCCCAAACCCTAAACCCTAAACACTGGACCCTGAACCCTGAACCCTAAACCCTAAACCCTAAACCCCAACCCTAAATGCAAATTGTTCTATTGTTGAACCCAGTGTGCTTTTGCGTTTAGGCTCTTAAAGGCGCCAACGATCCCTCCAACCCGACATTTCAATTCCAAGACCTATACAGCCACGTTTAGGGTTTGGGGACTTTAGGGTTTGGGGTTTAAGGGCTTAGTTTTTTTTAGGGTTTAGGGGCCCTAAACGTAGGGTTTCTGGTTTATAGGGGCATATATTGGGGTTCTTTTTAGGGTATCTAGGGGCTACAGTAAGGTATGTAGGAGAACAGATAAAGAGGCCACCGGCCTTTATAGCCTGTACAGCCACGTCTTTAGGGTTTGGGGTTTATAGGGCTTAGGCTTTTTAGGGCTTAGGGACCCTAAACCCTAAACCTCTAAACCCTAAACCCTAAACCCGAACCTCAAAGCCGACAACCTGCCGAGGAGTGTACGGCATTCCCGGCCTGCATCGTGCTCGGCTTTCTGGAGACTCGTCGACTTCCTTCACTGGGGATTCGGGTTTAGGGTTGTCCCCCGTTTCTCTAAAGTAGGGTTCCTTTTGGGCATCCTTTTTAAGGGGCGCCGCCTTATAAGTGGGTACCCAAAACGGGCCCCACTTGCTAGCCCAGAGGGTCCCCTTTTGCCTTTTTTGGGGCTTTAGGTTGAATTCCCTTACCAGAAGTAGCCAGCCCCCAAAAGGGCACCCCTATAATATTATGATCAGTTCTGAAAAAGACGGTCTCCGTTTGGGTAATCAAAGGGGCCGCCTTCTAGAATGGCAACCCCAAAAGAACACAATTTAGAGAAGTGACTTGGAATGCTCCCCCTTATACTCAGAGTCCTTAAGAAGGACGATAATAGGTAGTACTATAATCCCCATCAAAGACTGTTAGTATAGGAGGGAACATCGCAAGAAGTTACCATGTGGTGAGTGGGCTGCCAGGTTCGCGGCTGCTGGGTTTTTGGAGCTTAGGTTTTTTAGGGGTTTAGGGTTTAGGGTTTAGGGTTTAGGGTTTAGGCTTCGGGGCTTGCAATGTGTGGAAGCCAAGGACTCCAACACCTCCTTCATGAAAGATTATTCCTTACACCAAAAACAGGCAGCCGGTTTAGGGTTTAGGGTTTAGGGTTTAGGGTTTAGGGTTTAGGGTTTAGGGTTTAGGGTTTAGGGATGTTTTCTAAAGGAATGCTCCTTAATTCAGGGGTGTCGGAGTTGGGGAGCCCCGAAAAAAGCCGAGGACAACCACTTCATGCTCCAAAGGGCTCGGCCCAAGTGGAGGACTCCGAAGTACCGAGCTGAGGACTACGTGCGGAAGCTGCACGCGGCTTCTTGGTAGCCCAGGTGGTTTGCCGCTTTGCCCTTCTTTTTTGGGGGGTCTAGGTTCCCTTGTAAGGTAACGAACAACAGAAAGGGTATAACCTTAAAATAACTAGTGAACCAGCTACAGAAAGGGTAACCTTAAGATAAATAGTTAATGTGGTTCTGTTGGGCTACCGAGGCTCTAGCCGCCGCGGGAGGGCAGGTCTGTTCTGGCACGGACGTCGCCAAGTTGGAGCTCGCGCCTGAGGGCCGCGGCATCCGCGTCGTGACGTCCAACGGCCAGTACGTTTCCGCCGCCAGCCCCGTCTTCGACAAGGTGGTACCTTGCATCAAGGGTTTAGGGTTTAGGGTTTAGGGTTTAGGGTACTGAAGCTCCCAGCAGGGTAGCATGCAGCAGGCGCACATCTTGTCTCATGTGTCAGGAGCCTCATTTGACCTGGTTTCAGGGTGTAGTGGATGCATTTCCATTCTTCCCCAAAGCACCTTGCAGTAACTAATTACATCGTATGGTCTTTGGGCCCAAACAAGCTACAAGAAGAGTCCATCGGGCCTTTACCGAAATTAGCGGTACCTTATGTGGGTGCCCTATTATGAGGGACTCCGGGACTCCTACTATTTGGTGGTCTGTAATAGGACTCCCTTGGTTTAGGGTTTAGGGTTTAGGGTTTAGGGTTTAGGGTTTAGGGTGTGTAAGCCCCCTCTTGTTTGGGAGAACAACAGCCGAGGTCCTTGCGGTGCACGCAGACCAGGCGAGCATCATCTTGGCGAAGTCGAACCTGTCGGGCGAGGACCGGAAGCTCTGCGAGGAGACGTGGGTAGCCCAGTGGTGCCCTTTTGCCCCCTTTTTTTTGGTGTTTAGGGTTTAGGGTTTAGGATATAGGGTTTAGGGTTTAGGGAGCCCCAAAAAGGGTACCCTAGTTGTGATAGGATTACTTGACTACCCAGGAGACCATCGACAACTTCAAGTACTCATCCAACGCAGCGGCTTGTTTGAATCCACTCCTGTGCAGCAGTACCCTAAACCCGAAACCCTAAACCCGAAACCCTAAACCCTAAACCCGAAACCCTAATTAAGCCCTAAACCCAGGAGACCCCTTGCAGCTTCGATGTAAAACCTCATTGCTGTGATAAATTCCGGCATGCTGTGGGCGCCAATGCCTTGAACTGATCTAGCTTTGGGAGCTCTCCTGAAGGCAACTCGAAATAGAGTCTATGGCGTCTATCAGGGCATGTTAGGGTATGCCAGAAGGCCTTCAAGAGGCCCCAAACCCTGAACCCCAAACTGCTCAATCCTAAACACAGAACCTGGGAAAAGTAAACTCACACTTGGAGCGTTCATCTCTCAGTTACACGCCCACTGACGAGAGACTGAGGAGGGAGGGCTGCTTTCAGCTCAGGTGTACATCCACACCGATCCCAAGTACATGCCCAAGAAGCGCCTTTGCCTGTGCGGTACAGGGTTTCAGGATTCAGGGTTTAGGGTTTGGGGTTTAGGGTTCAGGGGTGTCAGTTGTAGGGCTGTTGCCTATGCTCAGCTAGTAGAAGCCATCCTGACTCTGAACACCAATCCCGAAAACAAAAAAAAACCGAATCCCCGAGCCCTAAATCCCCCGGGCCCAGTTTTTCATGTCGGGCCTGGGGAGTTTTTGTTTCAAACCCCCGGAAACCCCCACGCCAAATGCCAAACCTTAAACCGATTAGGAGGCTCATGGGTAGTGTTAAGCAAGGTAGATAAGTATTGCAACTATGCTGACAACCCTACTTATACCTACCCATGAACCAGGAACCTTAAACCCCAAACCCTAAACCCCAAACCCCAAACCCTAAACCCTAAACCCTAAGTACCCCAAGGAAGGCATGCTGGAGCGCGTGGAATGGCTTGAACCTCCCTGGAGCCCCGGCGGTCGTCACGTACTGGATCAACAAGCTGCCCGATGCAGCGGTTCAGGGTTTAGGGTTTAGGGTTTAGGCTTTAAGGGTTTAGGGTTTGGGGTTTAGGGTTTAGGGTTAGGTTTTAGGGTTCAGGGTTTAGGGTTGAGGGTTTAGGGTTTAGGGGTCAGGGTTTTCGGTTTAGGGTATGGTTTCACGGTATGGGTTTGGGGTTGAAGGTTTCGGGTTTCGGCTTTACAGGGTTTAGGAGTTTAAGGCTTAGAGGTTTTACGTTTTGGGGCTCCTTGCACCCGCAATAACCCCGACGCATCCCTGTAGGTGAGGAGGTAGCTGCTAACGGAATTACTGTGCTTGTGCGGAAAGAAGCATAGAAGTCTAATTGTTGGTTCTGGGTTCAAGGGTTTTAGACTTCAGGTTCAGCTGTTTTGGTGTGCGCGCCGTAGTTCTCCTTTGCGGGCCTTGAACGAAGCAGATTCGCTCCCCCAAAAAAGTCCCAACATCCAAACGACCCAGCTTCCCAACCAGGAATCCCCAACAACTCATCACTAAAAACTCTCAACCCCTCAAGCCCTCAACCCTACACGCCTCAACCCCTCGACCCCAAACCTTCTGACGCCTAAACCCTAAACCCTAAACCCTAAACCCTAAACCCTAAACCCTAAACCCTAAACCCTAAACCCTAAACCCTAAACCCTAAACCCCCCAAGCTCCTCGAAATCTCTGCGGCCACGCCAAGGCTCCAGCCTGGAGCTTGCACCGAGGGTAAGGATGCTCTGGGACAGCATTATGAATTTAGGGTTTGGGGTTTAGGGTTTAGGGTTTGGGGTTTGGGGTTTAGGGTTTGGGGTTTGAGGTTTTGGGTTTCGGGTCTGGGGTTTAGGGTTTAGGGTTTAGGGCTTGGGGTTTAGGGTTTCGGGTCTGGGGTTAAGGGTTTAGGGTTCAGGGCTTGGGGTTTAGGGTTTAGGGTGCAGGGTTTGGGGTTTGGGGTTTGGGGTTAGGGGGCTTACAAGGGCTTCAGCATTTTTTCATTGAAGCCAAGCCTTGGTAGCCCGCTGGTGCCTTTTTCTCTTTTGTTGGTTCAAGGTTCCCTTAGAAACTAGCCCAGCCCAAAAAAGGGTACCCTAAAGCTGGGGCTTCAAAGAATCCAGGGGTTTAGGGTCTAGGGTTTAGTTGGGCTTTAGGGTTTAGGGTTTATTTCGGGTTTAGGGTTTAGGGTTTCGGGGGGCTTTCAGGGGCTTAAATTAATTTCATTAGGGCTGAGACGGTGTAGGATTTAACAGGACTTGGGGCTTCCAGAGGTCAGGGAGGGGGTTTGCAGGGTTTGTAGGGTTACGGGGCCTATCACAGGGGCCGGAATAATTACTAGTAGTATGCCCGGATGGTCCCTATATGACGATACTGACTATACTACGAAAGCCCCAAAACTCTATTCTCATTATTAAGGCCCCTATATTAGAGCTTAAAGTGGGGCTTGCAAGGTATCTAATGGCTTCACACGAGTATGTAGTACCATGGATTACGAGCTTGGGTAGCACGGGGCGTCAAGAGTTCACAGGGTTTATGGTTTTCACTGGCATTTAGGGTTCAAGACTTAGGGGATAGGAGTTCTCTACATTAGGGTCCCTTTTGGGGTCCTACACATAGAGGGGCACCCGTAAAGAAGGACCCCAAGAGGAACCCTAAGTTAGAGAACTGCCCATATAGAATTCTGACCATATGGAAGAGCTCACAGGCACAGTTCCTGTTGGCAGTCTACGCTGGTGCGTTACCGCAGGGTCTAGGTTAAGGGCTTCAGGCTGGGGAGCTACTTGGAGGTAGATTTGGGTAGTTATAAGTACTGCCAGAACTACGGAAGCTATGCTTGTAACCCCATTTAGGGCACTTAAAACCCTAATTTCTTATAACTGCCCAAGTCAATCTCCAAGGAGTCAGCTTAGCGACTCTGCGCCCCCAGCTTTCCCATGTAACCCTGCGCCTCTCTAGGTAAGGCGAAAGCTAGCAAGTATTCTTATACCCTAAACCCTAAACCCTAAACCCTAAACCCTGAACCCTGAACCCTGAACCCTGCACCCTGCACCCTAAACCCTAAACCCTAAACAAGAACAAGACTAAAACTAGTAATGGCCGTCGTTTGCGTTGTCTTCGCCATTGTAGTGGCAACTGGAATTGCAATCGTATTGGTCAAAGTCGTAGTTATAGACATAGTCCAGCAACGGCAGTGGCTCATGGTAGTGGTGATGGCAAGAGCAAGAGACAATTCTGGGTTTCAGAATCAAAGGTTGCTCTTAGGTGCACCCCTAAACCCTAAACCCTAAGTCCTAAGTCCTCTCAGGTCTTCGTGACACTGAACCCGCCTGAGGGATCCATTGACCAGACGCTGGTGCTGGCAAAGCATCCCGTCGGCACAACACTTCGCAGATGCCTGCCGAAGCCCTACTACTTGGAGGTTTATGGCACTTATTAACCAACGATAACTGTACTTATAACCCACTTATAAGCCCCTTAAGTGCCCCAATATGGTGATAAGTACAGTTATAAGTACAGTTATAGTTGGTTAATAAGTACCATGAACCTCCAAGTAATCAATGCCTTGGCAGTGGCACCCCTTTTGCCCTTTCTTTGGGTCTAGATCCCCTTCTCAAGTAACCAACAAACAAGAAGGGTACCCTTACTAAAATATTGGTACCCTTATTATAGTGTGGCTACCCTTACTATACCCTAAACCCTAAACCCTAAGCCCTACACCCTAAGGGTGCCCTTACTATAGTCTGATTAGCCCTTACTAAAATATGGCTACCGGCCTATCAAGATACTGCTTGGACAGCACGCTGCTAGGACAGAAGTCCCACCCTGCATTCCGCCGGAGCTCCTAAACACCTAGGGTTTAGGGTTTGGGGTTTAGGGTTTAGGGCTGAGGGTTTAGGGTACTCCAAGACCCCACCCTGAACTAAGGATAATTCCTTAAACCAGAGAAGGAGCCCTCTTATATTTTTAGGAATATTTTTCTTAAACCAGAGAAGGAGCCCTCTCATATTCTCAGGAATGTTCCTTAACCCATATATATATATATATATATTTATTTATTTAGAGCCCTCTTAGATTTTAAAAATATAAATTATAAGGGGATTGGCGTCCCTGGGAGTGCCTGGAGGAGTTGCCAACACGCTTAGGTACTGGCTAGGTAGCCTTTAACCCTTGTGGTTGTATAGAGTTCTACTAGTTTAGGGGTACATATCGAAGGTTAACCTAGGGTATTCAGGCCCTGAGCACCTTAAGCCTGCCTCATCGGGCGGTGCCCTAAACCCTAAACTCTATACCCTGATGCAGGTACACCTTGGACCACCCACTCTTGGATGAGAAGGCCCTCATAGTTCAGAGGGCAGCTCGGCAATATAGGGGTTCAGGGTTTGGGGTTTGGGGTTTAGGGTTTAGGGCCCCCCTATGGACCCTATATAAGTATACTATAATCAGGAATTGTGTTCTTATTCTTGTTTGTACAGAACCTTTCGTTATGCATTCCCCTTGAAAAGAAGGTTTTGTGATATGGAATCATCGGTCTATATTCAAGCAAGTTTTAGATTAGTCACATATGTATATATATATATATGTATATGTAGTTTTGACCTACTTGCAGGATCCCTGTCATGTGGGTAGCTTGAAGGGATCTATAGCGTTTCTAGCAGGTTCAGGGGCTTCGGGTTTCCAGATGAGTCTTGCGGTCGAGCCTCCCATGTCCCGTAAGGACTTTTTTGTTTGGGGTTTAGGGTTTAGGGTTTAGGGTTTAGGGTTTAGGGTTTAGGGTTTAGGGTTTAGGGTTTAGGGTTTAGGGTTTAGGGTTTAGGGTTTAGGGCTAGCTGAGTTTCGGCCCCAAAGACCAGGCCCTCAAAGCCAGATGGTAACTTTTAGCAGCTTGCGTTCGGCAATGTACGCTGAAAGCAAACCTGACAACCCTAAGGGTCCATGTACCTTATTATCATATAGGCCCTTATTTCCGTTTTTCAGGGTTTAGGGTTTCGGGTTTAGGGTTTAGGGCTACTAGGACCGGGAGTAGGCCCTTTTTTCCTTTTTTTAGGGTTCGGGTTCCTTTATAATCCCCCTAAAAACCAAAAGGGCGCCCTTTTTATTCCTAGGTTACTCCCGGGTCTAGCCTTGTTATTATATGCTTGGGCCCCAAAGTCCTTCTGTGGCAAGTACTTTCAGGCCCAAGTACTCTCTATTCAGGTACATGGACCCTCAGGACAAGCTTGTAACTGAAACACTTCGCGTCTGAGATGTTTGCGTCCATGCGAATCACGGCACATGGGGTTACTTGCTGCTGATCCTGGGACTTCCTAAAGTGTAGTAGTAACTTACTACCCTTAATTGGTAGTAATTTACTACCCTTAATTGTTAATTTGCTACCCTTAATTAGTAGTGTTTCAGGTATGTCGCTCATTCAGCCACTTCGATTCTCGTGAGGCTTGGAAGTAAGTGTCGGTAAAACAAATTAGTACTATAGCCCACAAAAACTGTAGGTAAAGAGGGTCCCAGGGTAGTGTCTGTCACCTCCTCCCGCAATGCTTCGTGTCTGGCGACCTTCTGGGCAAGAGCTCGCCACCGTCTCCGTGGAGGACCCTAAACCCTAAACTCCTAAACTCCTAAACTCCTAAACTCCTAAACTCCTAAACTCCTAAACTCCTAAACTCCTAAACCCTAAACCCTACAACCCTAAACCCTAAACCCTAAACCCTAAACCCAGGAGTTCAGGGATGCAGCGGCTTTGAAGCTACATCTCTGCGAACTTTATGGTTTCCCCCTGTCTTTGCAGCAGCTTCTGCATGACGGGAAGATCTTAAGTGATTGTGCGGAACTTGATGCCCCGATGGATCTGCAGTTAGTTCTACTGACCACCCCCGGCCTTCCGGGAAGCGTTCAAGCTGAAGCAGAGTTGGCAGATGCCGCGCGACTGAATCGTGTAGAAGTCGCGCGCTGCTTGCTGGAAGCTGGTGTTGAACCAAATTGCAGAGACGAGGACAGTGACAGCACCACCCCTCTACTGCTCGCGTCTGAGAGTGGTCATGTGGAGGTGGCACGTTTGCTTCTGGACGCTGGTGCTGAAAAGGATTGCCAGGGAAGATTTTATGATGGTGGCAGGACAGCCCTCATGCTTGCATCTCAGAATGGTCACTTGGATGTTGCGCGTTTGCTGCTGCAAGCTGGTGTTGCAACAGGACTCAGAGACGATGACTTCACAACAGCTCTGATGCTCGCATGTGAGAGTGGTCACAGTGGTTACTTGGAGGTTGCGCGCTTGCTTCTGGAAGCTGGTGCTGAAAAAGACCTCAAAAACTGTTACAGCAAAACAGCACTGATGCTTGCATCTGAGTGTGGTCACTTGGAGGTCGCGCGCTTGCTGCTGGAAGCTGGTGCTGAAAAAGATTGCGCAGACGACTTTGGCAGGACAGCCCTGATGCTAGCATCTGATATGGGTCGCTTGGAGGTCGCACGCTTGCTGCTGGAAGCTGGTGTTGCAACAGATTGCAGAGACGATGACAACAAAACGGCCCTAATGCTTGCATCTGAGAGTGGTCACTTGGAGGTCGCCCGTTTGCTTCTCGAAGCTGCTGCTGAAAAGGATTGCCGTTCATCTGATGGCAAGACAGCCTTAATGCTCGCGTCTGAGTTCGGTCACTTGCAGGTCGCACGTTGGCTGCTGGACTCTGGTGCTGCAGTGGATTGCGCAGATGTTGACGGGAGGACTGCCCTGATGTGGGCGTCTGACAGTGGTCACTGTGAGTTAGCGCGCTTGCTGCTGGAAGCTGGTGCTGAGAAAGGCTGCTGGAGTCGTAAAGGCATGACGGCTCTGATGCCATATCTCCCTTGGGAATTTCTTTTTTTGCTTATATAAAAACCCAAGAGGATATTTAAACAACATAACTATTCTTATTAAGGTTCTAAGGGGAGCATAGGATGCTTGCAGCTGGACATGGCCACTTGAAGGTTGCACGCTTGCTGCTGGAAGATGGTGCTGACATAGACTCTTGGTGGCCCAGTGGTATTCTTTACCCTTTCTTGGTTGCTGGGTTCACTTAGAATAAGGCAACCAGCCCAAAACGGGGTTTAGGGTTTAGGGTTTAGGGTTTAGGGCAGTTTAGGGTTTAGGGTTTAGGGTTTAGGGTTTAGGGTTCAGGGTTTAGGGTTTAGGGTTTAGGGGGGGTACCCTTATTATGAGATGGTTGCTGGGATACCAAGGACTGCTGGGATCGCAGCTTTGTCATAGCGGGGTAACATTTTACATTTTTAAGGGTACTAAAACCCAATAAAGAACATAAAATTCAATTTGTTTAAGGCTGCTAAAGCCCAAAAAGGGATTTAAAATTAGACTTTTTATACTATCCCAACTATGATGTCTCTAAAACCCTATACATATATATATATATGTATATATAGTTTCTTTAGCATTATCTCAACCGTGAACTAGGCAAGGGCATGACAGCCCTGATGCACGCATCCTGGAGCGGTCACTTGGAGGTCGCACGTTTGCTCCTGGAAGCCGGCGCTGATAAGAACTGCTCAAGCTATCACGGCTGCACCTCAGAGATACCTGGAACCATTTTAATTTTTTGGGGGTACTCTATTTCCTAAGAAACGGCTGAAGTTAATCATGTTTGCTAGGGTTCCAAGTTCAGTATATAGGTACAGCTCTAAGCCTCGCAACTGAAGAACATCACTTCGAGTGCGTAGATGTGCTATTGAAAGCTGGTGCTGCTCGGTGATTCGGCGACGGTCTGCGCACGCATCCGGTTTCCTCACGCGCCTGTGTTTCTGTTGCCGCGGTGCTGGCAATGCTTCTTAGCTTGGCTCGCTTCTGGGTGCCAGACAAAAGTGGCGAAGTCTTAATCCCTAAACCCTAAACCCTAAACCCTAAACCCTAATCAAACCTGCAAGTCGCAGCCCTGAACATCCCTGAGCGCTCGGCTCACATCCCTAAAACCCTCACCCTGGTGTTTAGGGTTTAGGGTTTAGGGTTTAGGGTTTAGAGTTTAGGGTTTAGGGTTTAGGGTTTAGGGTTTCCGGGCTTTCCGGGCCCAGAGAATCCGCAAGGCTCGGAGCTCCAAGGTGTTCATGTCCCAGAATATTCAAAGTACTCAGAAGCTACTATTTCAAAAACAGCGCCCATGAACAGCAGTCTTTTTTCATAGTGGTAAAGTATAGTGGTAAAGATAAAATTAAGAGAAAAGAGTAAGAGTACTCATAAGCTACTATGTTTAAAAACAGCGCCCATGAACAACAGTCTTTTTTTCATAGTGCTAAAGGTACTCTTAGGCTACTATTTAAAAAACAGCACATAAGGCATGAACAGCAGTCTTTTTTTCATAGTGATAAAGTATAGTGGTAAAGATAAAAGAATAAGAGAAAAGAGTAAGAGTAATACGAGTATAGACAATGGACAAACAGCCTAAACCCAGTCAGATCCCCTGCATGCCTTGACCGTCAGGGTGTATGGGGCCCATAGGAAGTTGTAAGTATGGTGCCTTTGCTTATGACCCCAGTTAGGGAGCTTCTAACCCCGCTTTGAACTAAATGAATTTTGCTTTAACCCCCCCCCCCCCAAGACAAGAATACTCCTCCTGATAAGGGCAATATCGGGATTAGTAACTTTCATGTTTGGGGTGTGTCTGTGGCAAATAGTAGATAAGCAGCCATGAACCACCACGTAGGGTTGGAGCCCTAAACCCTAAACCTAAACCCTAAACCCTAAACCTTAAACCCCTTTTTTGGCTGAGAACCCCCCAGACCCGTGCGAGCGCAACAAGAATCCGAGGCACTGCCGCGATTGCAGGGACTTGGAGGAGCCGGTGGCCATGTCGGCGCGCCACGTCGTTTACGGTTTAGGGCTTAGGGTTTAGGGTTCAGAGATTAGGGTTTAGGGTTCAGGTTTGAGGGTTGAGGGTTTAGGGTTCAGGTTTGAGGGTTGAGGGTTTAGGTTTCGGGGTTGAGGGTTTAGGCGGGTTTGAGGGTTTCGGGTGGCGTCGGCGATGTCTACCATGCTGTTGCGCATTATTCTGGTGCAAAGAAGCCCTGAAGCCCAAAGCCCCCACACACACAAGCCGAGCTCCCAAGGCCTAAAACCCTCAAGCCTCAGATCTTCTATTGAATAGCTTAGGGTTTAGGGTTCAAGGTTTAGGGTAAGTTAAGGGTTCAAGGAATAGGCGGCCATTATCCGACTAACTCCTCGACATCATGCCGCGGCCAGTGAAGGGGTGAGGGTGGAGGGAGGGCTGTGCCCTGCCTCGGACCTTCAGTGCTTTGATTTTGTGTGTTTGTCAGGGCCTTTAGGGGTCGGCGGGCGGTGTGGGGGGTGTTTCTCTGACGTTTTTGAGCTTTTTACCCCTCTGAAAAATTCCAAGCACCACACACTCCGAGCTCCACTTGCCAGTCGGTTGAGCCCAAAGTTTGGTGGTTCTTTGTAGGGAGTTTGTGTTTGAAGTTTCCTCTGTCAACTCTTTACAGGCCGACATAGAGGGGCACAACCCTAAACCCTAAACCCTAAACCTTAAACCCTAAACGACAGCAGTACCCGTCCTTAAGGGTGATCCATTAAACGTAGCTGGCCACACTTTTCATTTTCGGAACCCCTTATAGGAACCCTACAAGCCCTAAAACCCAAACCCGAAGCCCTAGACAGACAAGCAGCAGGACGGATCTACTTTTGTGGCGCTTGGGCCGGGTGGGGATTCCACGAGGACGAGGGGTTATTGTTTTGGGCATTGGGTGGGCTCCCAGGGTTGCTGGGGATAGGTTGGCTAATCCAATTTATGGCCTTTTTGTCTCCATTTTCGGACACTCCTTGTTCGTTGCTTGGGGTTCCTCAATTGAAATGAGTATTTCATCCTTCTTACTACACCCAGCACCCCAAACCCCAAACCCCAAACCCAAAATCCAAAACCCCAAACCTTCCCAAACCCAAGCCCATGTCAAGACCCCATACCCAAAAGCCCAAGACCTCTTAATCCAGGAACACACCTTCAATCATACCAAGGGTTCCTGTATAGTTTAAGGTGTATTCCTGAATTCAGGGGGTTTTGGGCTCTTTGGGTACTGATCTGCAGGACGGGATGCGCAGCGCCCGCGCGGCCTGCCAAGCCATGGGCGTGGACCCTTCCCGGCATCTTTTGCGGGGCGAGGAAGCCCAATGCCCTTGAATTCCGCTCATGACTAGATGTTCGGGCTTACAGTAAACTCCAAAAGTCGGATCATCCTTATCCCCATACCCCAAAAGGTATACAGAAGGAATCCCAGCTTTAATCATCTTGAAACCATCTTCTAACTTTCTGGAGTTTACTGCAGGAGAAGGTTTAGGGTTGATCTTTAGAGAGCACCAAACCCTTGTAACCCTACAAGCCCCGAAGCCTAAACCCTAAACCCTCAACCCCTGTATCCCTAAACCCTAAACCCCAAACCCCAAACCCTAAACCCTAAAGCCCTGAACCTTAAGGACATGACCGCCTGGCCCGCTGGTCGGCGGCCGTTGGCCTCCATGTCCTGGGCGGCCAAGAGCCTCTTCTGGAATGCAAGATTCCTTTAGGGTTTAGGGTTTAGGGTTTACGGTTTGGGGTTTGGGGTTTAGGGTTTAGGGATACAGGGGTTGAGGGTTTAGGGTTTGGGGTTTAGGGTTTCGGGCCGAACATACGACTCTTCAACGGAGGAATATGGAGGATATGCACCTTAGTTCATAGTGAGGATCCCTATATTATGTGGTTTGAGGTAGATTCCAAAAAGTAAGGGGTATTGGGGTTGTGTGGCTCAGGGTTTCGGAGGTTCTCGTGCAGAGGTCTCGAGCAATCTTACTGACGCTTATGTCAGGGCCCAAGCCTGCCCTACTTTCAGGGGCTTTGGGTGCATTTGGAGCCTAGGCACGAAGAAATACGCATGCTTTTGGGTCCAAAAAGTGCAAAGTCGACAATTTCAATTAATAGCTTGCTCGGGGGTCTTGCCGAAGAGAATGTTCTCGACCCTAAACCCTGAACCCTAAGCCCCACAGTGGGCTGGCGTGCCGAAAAGGTGTATCCATTGTAGGTAGGCAAAAAACAGCAAGCCTAAACCCGAAACCCTAAACCCTAGACCCTAGACCCTATAGACCCCAAACCCTATAGACCCTGCAGACCCTATAGACCCTGCAGACCCTATAGACCCTATAGACCCTATAGACCCTATAGACCCTATAGACCCTATAGACCCTATAGACCCTATAGACCCTATAGACCCTATAGACCCTAAACCAGAAGCCATGCGGCGGAGGAAGCTTTGGGACCTGGCCCTCCTTCCAGGGCTGCAGCAGATGATCTCGAAGGTTGCACGGGGCCCCTAAACCCTAAACCCTAAACCCTAAACCCTAAACCCTAAACCCTAAACCCTAAACCTAAACCCTAAACCCTAAGGGTTCATACAGGTGAAAGGGGACTGCAGCGCCCCTTAAGTAAGGAATACTCCTTAAAGTATAAAGGGAACTCCAAGACCCCTTAGTTAAGGAATACCCCCCTAAACTATATAAGGAACCCTCGTATAGTTTAAGGAATATCCCTTACATTATAACAGTGGTGGAGTCCCTGTAAGGGGCGAAAGCATCCACGAGGGTTTGGGGTTTAGGGTTTAGGGTGTGGTCCTGGGTTTGAGGTTCAGGGTTTGGGGCTTCAGACTCAGGGTTCTGGAAGTTCGGCATTCTGCGACTTAGGGTTCCGGGTTTAGGGTTTAGGGTTTAGGGTTTAGGGTTTAGTGGGTTTCGGGTTGACAACACCGGCCCAGGTTTGGGGGAAGTCTGCTGCAAGGGAGGAGGGGAGTGTGAGTTCCATAAGCGCAAGCGCCATTCGGTTTGGGGCGGGGTTCTTCAACTACGAAACCCAAAACCCCTAAACCCTACACCCCAAGCAGGACCACATGCCAGAAGCACTTCTCCCTCAGACTCCTGCACACGGGTCCTCTGCCCTTAGCCATTGTAGTAGCACTGTTACTCCGCCAGCCATCTTAGGGTAGTTTCACGGGCCCGCAGTGTGGTCCCTTACCTTCTTTAAAGGGTTCTGAAGTATGGGCCCTTGGCTTTTGTAGGGTATAGAAGGGGTATATAAGGGGTACCCTTTGAAGGCCCATATCAAGGGGCCATGTAACGACCCTTAGAGAAGCTAGGCCATTCTACACACATCCTGCCATTCTCCGCATTCTCCGTATAATTCTCGTAGCCCAGTATGACAAGACGTTCATCCGGGCAATGTAGGACTCGGACCCCTCTATTTCCGAACAACACCGAAAAACCCGCAGTAGTATGGTGAATGGGCCCGAGGCCCTGAAGTACGAGTCCTTAGTCTAGTCCTGGGGAATCAGTTCGATCATAGGATTGTGCCTTGGAGCCCTAAGGTTGTACCCTTGGGTTTGGGGGTTCCTTCTTAAGGATCCCTAAGATAATATAAGGGCCATCTTGGGAGTATATTAAGGAGAACCCTTAGGGGTACGAGCTTGGGGGGGGGGGGGGTACGAGTCTTCATCCCTTGATTCGATCCGGCCTGAGCCCTGCAGCATTGTACTGTAGGCAAGGCTGAGTTCGGGTTTGGGGTTTAGGGTTTTGGGTTTAGGGTTGGTGGATCTTCATTCGGAACGGTCGATGGTCAACGCCCTAAACCCCAAAGCAGGGCTCAGGGTTTACAGTAAACCCTGAACCCTACACCCTAAACCCTAAACCCCACAAAATCCCCCAACGCAGGGCGTTCTGCGGGTCGTCTTCGGCGATGGCGGAGAGAGCATCCTCGGCGACGGGCCTTTGGGCGCGAGTTTCCCCAAGAACCCGAAAACCCAAACCATAGGGTCCTACGTACTTAGGGTTTAGGGTTTAGGGTTTAGGGTACATTCATGGGTTCCCCTACTACCCCCCTCTATACTACCCCCCCCCCCCCCCCCCCCCTAGGTTCCCACCTGCACGCTGGGCCCAAATTCAGCTGTGATTAGGATACTTTACATTTGCCCCGCATGAGGTTTAGAGAATCTTCGTTTAGGGTTGCGAAGGGTTTAGGGTTTAGGGTTTAGGGTTTATCCCTTTTCTGGAGCCGGCGCGATCGCCACAGAATGTTCCCTTCCCCCCCTCCCCCCACGGCCCGCGATCTGATTCTTGCACAAACTTATACTCCGGACCCTAAACCCTGAACCCTAAACCCTAAACCCTAAGCCCTAAACCCTAAACCCCAAACCCCAAGCCCTAAACCCGAAGCCCTGCTGTACTGTGCGACATCCTGCTTAAGCCGAGGAAGGGGACAGCTGTTGAGCTTCGCGTGCGCAGCGAGCGCTTCTTGTGGAGGCAGGGGTCGCGCTGTCACGAGGAATCCCCACGGTTTGCTTAAGAACCCCAAAAGAATAAAAACATAGTAATCCCTATATTACCCTTAATGAGGAAGAGTTTTTTTTTCTCATGTTTTGGGGTTCTGAAGCAATTCCTAGATCCCCAACCTCAGTTGCCCTACTGGCTCTTCGTAGGGAATGTGGGAATCAGGTAACCCTATCATCATCCCTGAAAGGCTACATACAGGGGGGATGTAACACCGCATTCCCTCATTCTAAGCATTTCGAACCAGCAGCTTCTTGCAGAGGGTTTAGGGTTTAGGGTTTAGGGTTGCAGAGGAGCATGCTCGATCCTGGCATGGCCCTGGCCAACGCGTTCGAAGCGGGGGAGATCGAGGCCCCCTCTCTTCGCAGCACTGCATCTCAGAGCGCCCGATACCTTTGCTGGCTCTTAGCGGATGAGGGAACTAGGTGCCATACATCTCCCCTATGTATATATATATATATATGTATGTATACATAATCTTTAGGGGAGTCTAAATGGTACCTCTCTCCCTCATTCCCTATACTAAGAAGAAGCTTAAGTATGTTGAGGCTACTAAAGCTTGTATAAAACACACTTTAAACCAAGCAAACTCCGACTCAGAATTCCCGTCGCTTGACATGTAAACCTTTGGTCAAGTCCAGCAGAGAAGTTGGGAGATCATGTCAGAGCTACATAGAACTAAGAAGGGCACCCTGATCCCTAAGCCCTACCCAAAGGCTCCAATGTAGTTCCTTTTTGGGTTAGTTATTAGGGGATTCTAGTATTCTAGCCCCAAAAAGGTACTACATAGGAGCCTTTGGGTAAACCCGATACAGAACTCCTGAGCCTTTCGCACCGCTTACTCTGCTGGATCTCCCAGTCGGCCCTGTCAAACCCTTTTTAGGCATCCTGGGTTCCTTACTTACAAAAGCTCCTCCCCCCCCCCCCCCCCCCCCCCTCCCCCCCCCTTCAAAAGCACCGGGCCATGTTTAAATCCTAGGTTAATGATGATCTCAGTAGATCTTCACCACTCAGGTGATCGGTGTAGATCTTCGCACACTACAAACCCTCGAGTTATAAACCCCCCCCAAAAACCCTATAAACCCTACAACCCCCCCCCCCCCCCCCCCCCCCCCCCCCAAGAAAAAAAAACAAAAAAACGAAAAATGTGTCAGACGTTCCAGGTCCGCCCCGACATCGCCAACCTCTTCCAGCTGATGTTGGAGAACAAGCCCAAGGGAGACAACAGGCACAACTCCCCCCCAAGATTTAGGATTCACGATTCACCCTGCAGCTGTAGGTGTTCTGTGTCTGCATGCTTTGGGATTGTGGTACGACTCTGGAGTACTATCTCAGCATAGCCTCAACTTTCAAAGAGAGCACGGCAAGACGTGCTTGCGAGACCCACCCCCTACTGCCGGAACGTATAGAGTCTAGTCAGGTACTCGCCAATGTCATGGTCGCCCGTGCGGTTCCTCTCGCCTCTTGCCAAACGGTGCTCCAGCCGAGTCTACCCAAAAAGCCCATTTTCTCAATTAAGGAATATTCCTTAAATCATATAGGGATCCTTAATATGATTTAAGGTATATTCCTTAATTAAGCCAGATTGGGCTCTTGGAATACTGTTTCAGGCGTTAGCATTCAATTCGTTTAGGCCGGGGTTGCGTGGTTGCGGGGGGTCTGTAGACAGCACCACCATGAACACCGACGATACTCCTGTTGGTGCAGTCTGCGCATGGACTTTTTAGGGTTTAGGGTTTAGGGTTTAGGGTTTAGGGTTTAGGGTTTAGGGTTTAGGGTCTAGGCCAGTTTAGGGTTTAAGGTTTAATTAGGGTTGTGCGACTTGTGATCTCCTTGTAAGAGCTCTGAGAATCGCAGATGGGCTTGCTCAGTCCTACAGGGACCGACAGAGAAACACCCCAGGTTGGATTTTAGGTCCTCCGTCAGCAGCCAAGCTACTCACCAGAGGGCACTCGCGATTTCTGACCCCGAGACCCCCCAAATCCTAAGATGTCTCGACGTGCGCCAGAAGCAGTTTGTCTTGCAGAGGGGCTCCACTAAACCCTAAGCCCTAAACCCTAAGCCCTAAACCCTAAGCCCTAAGACCTAAACCCTAAGCCCTAAACCCTAAACCCTAAAACTCTGATGGTCAGGTACCAGGCCATGATGCATGCTTCCCGCGCCAACAGCACCACCGGCTCCGAGAAGAATATCGAGGCAGGATGCAGATTTTTGTCGCCTCAGGGTTTAGGGTGTAGGGTTTAGGGTTTAGGGTTTAGGGTTTGGGGTTTAGGGTTTCGAGTTTGGGGTTTAGGGAATAGGGTTTAGGGTTCAATTCGGGTTTAGGACTGACGGTTTAGGGGACTTTTCAGAAGCTTTCGGATTGAGGCTGAGGGTTTCTGAGTAGGGTTCGCGTTGCTGCTATTCGTGTGCGTACGCAGTATTTGCTTATGCACATCGGCCAGCGCATACCTGGGACCCTAAACCCGAAACCCTAAACCTTCAGGGCTGTCCTTTGGTCCAAGCAATCAAGGCCCTACTTCATCACGCTTCCAGGCACATGGTCACTTCTCAAAACGACGGTTTCTTGTTTGGGCACCGTAAATTTCTTCAATATTGGGGGCCGCCTTGTAATAGTTTCGTGTTTGGGTATCCTAAATTTCTAAATTTCTTCACGATTAGGGGCCGCCCTGTAATAGCAACCCCGAAAATCGACACGAATTCTAGAGAATCCCCCCCATATGAGTTCACAAGCAGGTCTCTAGAGCGATGCTGCCCATGCCGGTAGGCACATTACGACCTGTCGAACCAGATGTTCAGCCTCTTCCTCAGCAATGACATGACCTACTCCTCCGGCATCTTCGACAAGGACCCTACTTAGGCGTCGACAGAGCGCTTTGGAAGCCTAAGCCTTTGAGGTTTAGGGTTTAGGGTTTAGGGTTTAGGGTTTAGGGTTTAGGGTTTAGGGTTTAGGGTTTAGGGTTTAGGCATTCTTCAGCATCATGTACACCTTAGTACAGGGGTCGAGTTCCGGCATGCCATCGTGGAGGGCTCAGGGTTTGCACCGTCTGCCATGCATCACTCTCACTACCAGCATTGTAGCACGCACATATCTTTGCTCCCTATGCTTTACAAAAGCCACCCGCCCCAACCCCCCCCCCAAACCCCAAACACATAGAAATTGAGATGCAGTTTCTTCATGCGATGCAGCTCTTATTTTCGCTTTTGTACTGCGTAAATACATGTACAAACAACGAAAAGTATGTACACATTAGACGGCGACAGCAACGCAGACTGTAGAACTCAACCCTGCCCCCCAAGAGTCTAAACTAGAAGCCAACAGCTCACCCTACATCCCTAAACCCTACATGCCTAAACCCTAAACCCTACATCCCTAAACCCTACATCCCTAAACCCTACATCCCTAAACCCTACATCCCTAAACCCTAAACCCTAGAAGGACGTCCAGGCGCTACAGGCCTCTGCTCCGCTCCCAGCGACTTGGGTTGCGATTCGGTCTGCCCCTTGAGTTCAGTCCCGGTTTAGGGTTTAGGGTTTAGGGCTTAGGGTTTTTTACAGGTTTTGGCTAGGTACCTCCTTGGGATAGGTTTTTCCTAGTAGTAGAGTAGGTAACCTTCGACCTTTTTGGGGGTGATATCATCCCCTTAGAATCCCACGGGTTAACCTCTAGTTCCCCCAGGTTACTGGACAACTAAGTGTTGGAATTTCCTTTCTTTGGGTTTAATGATTCATAGGACCTTGTTCCAGAGCCAGCCCTGGAGGGTTTATGGACTCCCAGGCGCCCTGCAGCCAGCAGTGTTGTTGACAACCCTAAACCCTAAACCCTAAACCCTAAACCCTAAACTCTAAACCCTAAACCCTAAACCCTAAAGCCCAAACCCTAGACCCTGAACCCTAAACCTGAAACCGTATAACTTAAACCCTTACCTAGACCCTGCAGTGCCACAACTGTCTCCCCAGAGGTTGTTCGAACGGCACGGCAAACAAACGAAGATACTGGCTTTTAGGGTTTAGGGTTTATAAGGTTTAGGGTTTAGGGCTTAGGGTTCAGGGTTTAGGGTTTAGGGGTCAGGGTTTAGGGTTTAGGGTGGCCCGCTTCAGTAGTGCCACAATCATCAAGGCAGCCGCGACGACATCACAAAAGGGCAGAACACTTGGCCATCATCAAACTGTGGGCTATGAGGCCTTATAATCCCCCCTAACCAACCCTATAAAGGGCCTTTTCAAGGGGTTCTAGGGTATACTTATAGGGTAGAATAGCCCATGCAATTCATCAAGCTGTGGGCTATAGCGCTCTGGTTCCCCTAGCCTCAAACCACTCAATCCCTTGAACTTGAACCCTAAGCCCGAAACACTCAACCCTAAACCCTAAGCCCTAAACCCTAAACCCTAAGCCATCTAACAAACTGAGCGGAGGAGCGGCTCCCCGGTGGGGAGGACTTCCTTGAGCTTGCGCAGCGCAGGACCAATACTGTACCCTACTTAATTAGGGTTTAGGGTTTAGGGTTTACGGTTTGGGATTCCTCAAACCATACAAGGAACCCTAAACCCTAAACCCTACACCCTAAACCCTAAACCCTAAATTGGGATTGTTCCTTAATCAAGGGGTGTTGGAGTGCCTGGGTTGTATCGGGCCCTTGAAGGTTTGCAAGGACTGTCGGTGTTCGTCAGTTTGGCACTGGCACCTGGCTGTGTATAGGGTTTAGGGTTTGGGGTTTAGGGTTTAGGGTTTATCCCCACAGCCGCTGCCCATAAGACCCCGAACGCAGGAAGACAATCTACATTCTACGTCGGGCCCGCCTTAAACCTTCAACCGTCCGCATAAACCCTCGAAACCGCTCCCTACTAAGCCCTAGACCCTAAAGCCTACACCTTAAACCCTACACCCCAAACCCTAAACCCTAAACCCTATAAACCCTATAAACCCTATAAACCCTATAAACCCTATAAACCCTAAACCTAAACCCTAAACCCTAAACCCTCAACCCTCAACCCTCAACCCTCAACCCTAAACCCTAAACCCTAAACCCTAAACCCTAAACCCTAAACCCTAAACCCTAAACCCTATAAACCCTAAACCTAAACCCTAAACCCTCAACCCTCAACCCTCAACCCTCAACCCTAAACCCTAAACCCTAAACCCTAAACCCTAAACCCTAAACCCTAAACCCTAAACCCTAAACCCTAAACCCTAAACCCTAAACCCTAAACCCTATCCCAGACCGCAGGAAGATGGATCGCCTGCTTGACCTCATCGAGCTCGAGCCCGGAGATCAGGCGCGGCGTCGGATTAGGGCCTAGGACCGATACCAGGCGAGGGTTTAGGGTTTAGGGTTTAGGGTTTCGGGAAACTCGGACCCAGAGTTTCCACCTTCTTTTAGGGTTTAGGTTCCCTTAGAAGCCCCTCAAAACCAAAAAGACAGGGCACCCTCTTTATTCCTAGGCTACTCTTGGGTCTAGGGGCTGAGGATCCTGTCGGTTCTCAAAGGGGCTTCTAACTAGACTCGCAAAGAGTAGTTTCTTGTCTTTATCTTGGAATATACCTTAGACTACATGGGGATCCTTAGTATGATTTAAGGTATATTCCTTAATTGAGGGGTATTGGGCTCTCCTAGTAGCCTTGGAAGTTAAATGGGTTAAGCTCCCTATCCAGGCTCCTGTCGTCTTTTGTTTTCACAACCTCCGCGCCAACAGCCGGAATCCCCACAGTCGTCCATCAGCACGAACCTACACGACAGAACCCTCGACTAGAGACACCGGTGCAACTGCCCCATTTAACCGCAACTTGTGTTGCACGCAGCGCCTTCTGTTGTTGGCAACTTGCTTGTTGGTCTGAGTCGCAGAACCCAGATCTTCCAAAGTAGCTTCATAAGGTAAACCTGCTTCAAAGGATAGCTTGTTGGGATGGTATGAAGCATTATGTTTTTGAAGGCATCTTCACGAGCTAAAGCGTATGCCTGATCTAAATTATGGGGCCCTTGTGTGTGTGTGTGTATGTGTGTGTCTCTCTCTCTCTCTCTCTCTCTCTCCGTCCCTCTCCCACCCTCCCTCTCTCTCTCTCCCTCTCTCTCTCTCTCTCTCCCTCTCTCTTTCTTTCTTTCTTCGGAGCCCAGGCATACCTTTCGTCCTTTGGAGGTTCCAGAGTTCCTTGTTAAAAAGATAAGCCCCAAATAGGGTTTTGGGTTGAGGATTACAACCTACCTTCAATGCACCAAGCACTAGCTCCAAATTTCAACCTTTAGAAACTCGAAACCCTTTAAGCCCAAAGCCCTTTAAACCCCTAGCCCCCAACCTTTTAAACCCAAAAACAACCCTGCACCCTTTAAACCCTAGCCCCTTAAATCCCAAACCCTTTGAACCCTACATCCTAATCCACCAACACCCCATCCCCGAAATCCCCTCCCTCTAAGGGAAGTTACATGGTCCTGAATATGGTCCCGTACCTTCTTCAAAGGGTTCTGAAGTGCGGGCCCTTGGGTTGTATAAGGGGTATTTCAAGGTTCCCCAACGAAGAGCCCAAGCTAAAAACAAATCATGCAACTGCCCTAAGACTCCTCCACCCTAAACCCTAAACCCTAAACCCTAAACCCTAAACCCTAAACCCTAAACCCTAAACCCTAAACCCTAAACCCTAAACCCTAAACCCTAAACCCTAAACCCACCACTTGTTGAGGTTCTGGAAGTCGGGGGCGGCTGGGGCAGCCTTGCCATCAGGCACGTGGCATGTTGTGTTCAGCTCGGGAGCTTCAAACGGGATTTTGGAGCATCATGGCTTCTGGGTCTTTAGGGTTTAGGGTTTAGGGTTAGGGTTTAGGTGTCAGGGCCTTAGGGATTTTGGGCTCAGGGTTTCAGGGTTTAGGTCTCAGGGCTTTAGGGTTCCAGTGCTTCCGGCTTTCGAGTTAAGAGGTTTCAGGCATCAGGGTCTAAGGGCTTCAGTGCTTCAGGCTTCAGGGTTGTATTGTCTAAGGGCTGCACTTGAGGATTCATGGCTATTCATAAGTCAGGTAGCCCCAGGAACACTTGCTCTACTCCACCTACCCGAGAAACCCGCAAGTAGGGCTTGGGGGTTTAGGGTTTGATAAACCCTAAACCCTAAACCCTAAAACCTAAACCCTAAACCCTAAACCCTACCCAAACCCTAAACCCTAAACCCCCAACCTAAACGCTTTGAAAACCCTAAGAGTGTAAGGGTCCTCCGAACCCTAACCTCCCTGAACCCTGAACACTTATCAGTGCGGCGACCCTAGGGCTCTGGTTTAGGGTTTAGGGTTTAGGGTTTAGGGTTCAGGGTTAATTTAGGGTTTAGGGTTTAGGGTTTAGGGCTTAGGGCTTAGGGTTTAGGGTTTAGGGTTTTTGGACTGTGTGTTCGACGAGGGTACTGGGCAAACAGGGGGCAGCTCCATACGAAGCTGGGTCGCCTGCTACCGATTATGTTGGGGGGTACGGGCGCCGTTGGTATGTGGCAAGGGGTAGCCTCCTGATCTTGAATAGCCTGTGCGGCGATAGATACTGGAAACTCTACACCCTGAACGTAACGAATTGCGTAAAACTTGCGCTCAAAGGCGTAAACGTTTTGTTCGCTCAAGGTTTTGTTGTTTTCATGGCTTTGTTTTGTTGTTCCTGAATTTCTGGTTCGTCCCTCTTCTTCAAAATCTTCGTAAAATCTCAGTTCAGGAAGAATTTCAGGAGTTGGCTTTCAGCTTTCAGAAGATTTTTCATGTAAACCCAAGCCTGATCCAGTTCTTCTTGTCTCGAAGGCTACAAACCACAGCAACTAGGGACTTCAAATCTTAACTGGAAACAGTAAACCCTAAACCCTAAACCCTAAACCCTAAGCCCTAAGCCCTAAGCCCTAAGCCCTAAACCTAGGGGCTGTTGCACTTTGTTCTTTTTAACGGGAATGGGTGAGTAAACGTAAATACAACAGATGCTAGTGCTTAGAGTGCAAGGTTTGCTGGCTAGTGTTTAGAGTGCACGGTTTGCTGGCGGATGGGACCAAAGTTACCCTAAAGCCCTAAACCCTAAAACCCTAGGGTTTAGGGTTTAGGGTGTAGGGCCTAAACCCTAGCGCAAGGTCTTTGTAGACTTTGCGGACGACGGTTTAGGTTTCATGAAGTGTTTGGGCTTCAGGGAGCCAAAACCCACATTGACATGGCAAGAGCCCTAACCCTAAACGCTAAACCCTAAACCCCAAACCCTATAAACCCTATAAACCCCACAAACCCTTAAAACCCTTAAAACCCTTAAAACCCTAAAAACCCTAAAACCCTAAAAACCCTAAACCCTAAACCCTAAGCCCTAAGCCCTAAGCCCTAAGCCCTAAACCCTAAACCCTAAACCCTAAACCCTAAACCCTAAACCAAGCCAGGGCCGCACAGCGCTGCCCGGAATTGGCCGGCTGGACCGCCATCACACTTTCAAGGCCGACATGCTGTAAGGGGGTGGGGGTTTGAGGTTTAGGGTTTAGAGTTTAGGGTTTAGAGTTTAGAGTTTGGGGTTTGGGGTTTAGGGTTTAGGGTTTAGAGTTTGGGGTTTTGAGGTTGTTGGGTTTTTTATAGGGATTTCCTAACATAGCAGTCCCCGTTTTCATGCCCCAAATAGAACAGAATCCTCCTTAATAAAAGGCACGTACCCCTATTTTCGGAAACCTCCATACAGCAGGTGGAGGGCTAGTTGGGCTTGCCGTTTCGGGCTTGAGGTTCGAGACTGCGGGTTGTCATACAGCTCATGGGATTAAGACTCGTACCCCTAGGGTTGTACCCCTAAAGGTTCCCCGAAATATACTCCTCATGTGGCCCTTATACTATCTTTCAAAAGGTTCCCCAAAACCCAAGGGTACCACCCTAAGGGGCACCCCCTAGAACAGCGTAGGAGAGAGGGAGACGTGGAGCGTTCGTTCGGGCAGATGGGCGCCTTTAAGGTTGCTGGTAGTTCACCTGGACGCTAAAAATGCAGTTCTTCTTGGAGCGGTATACGTTTTGGGGGGGGGGGGGGGGGGGTTGCACCTAAGAGAGTCAGAAAGTTAGGTTACCGCCGCCTACAAAAGACTCCAATTAAGGGCTCAGGTAGGTCTAGGATGCCCAGTAGTACCCTTTTTCCCTTTTTCTGGGGGTTTAGGTTCCCTTATAAACCCCTTTAAGCAGAAAAGGGCACCCTTTTTAAGCCTAGGTTGCTGGGCAGCCTAGAGGTTGTTTTTTACGGAAGCCGCGACTTGGGTGTGCTGCCAGCATGGCGATCAAGACTACGCTGCACGTTGCACAGGTTAGACATCCGCTGTCGCAAGGGGCAGGGAACACATGGGGCAGGGGGGTTGATCTAAGCTATTGGCGCAACGCAAACGGTAATTTGTGAGGGGCATGCCATGTTTGATACCCAGAAAGGGCCCATGATTTGGTAAGGTCATTTACTTACCGCAGAGTCCAGCGCAACTTGCGCAGGCAAGCATGAACATGCACATCAGCAGCACACTCGATGCGCTCCCCTGAATCCCGACAGCCCCCTAAACCCTAAACCCTAAACCCTAAACCCTCAATGGCTTGCCTTCCGGATGCCGCTTGCCAGCGCTTGCACCCGCGCGCGGTGTGGCACGCCCGTGCTGCGGCGAGCTCACCTCCCCACAGCGGGCAGGGCGCGGTGACGCAGGGGATCATTGGTGGCCTGGCCCGACTTTCCAGGGGCCCCAATACCCCTCTGTGAAGGAATATACGGTTTAGGGTTTAGGATTTAGGGTTTAAGGTTTAGGGCTTAGGGTCCGTAAGTTGTAGTAGGGTTCCGGTTCATGGTTTAAGGAATATTCCTTAATTAAGGGGTATTGGAGGCTCTGAGTTTAGCCATATATACAAGGAATTCAAACTTCAAACTGCCGTTGAAGCCAGGGATTTGCCTCTTGGGAAGCAGCAAGCGGCTTAGTATGTGTTCGCAAGAACGAAGCAGTACTTCCTGTTGTATTGGTTTTCGGAGAGTCCAACAAAGAACATACTTTAAAGCCATGATAAGAGCACCTCCATTACCCTAAACCCTAAACCCTGAACCCTAAACCCTAAACCCTAAACCCTAAGAAGACCTGGGTTGCCTCCAGCCGCTTAAATGAGGTGGCCTCGCGCTGGCCCTTGTGCATCCCACGCGACCTAGGGCCAAGAGCTCTGTCGCCTCGGGCTCCTCCTTGGACCGCTTCTTGGAAACATTTTTCAACCCTAAACCCTAAACCCTCAACCCTAAACCCTAAACCCTAAACCCTAAATCCCCTGCGGGTTAGGGTTTAGGGGTTGTGGTTTGGGGCTTGGGGTTTCCGGGTCTTCCCTTGATTCTCCTCTTGATTTCCCCTTGACTTTACACCGCCCCAAACAGAGACATCGTCCTTATTGTACTCTGGGTGTACCTTTATAAGGTGTCTGCAAGATTGCGTGCGTGGGACGGGTTGGTTGCTTAATATCCGGACGCAAGAACTCGTTTTTTCTTCTTTTGAAGGGGCTCTACAGGTCGGGTTTGGGCTTCAGGGTTTCGGGGGGGGGGGGGGCGGGTTGTGTTTAGGGCGGTTCTCCAAAACGTCTCTTTCGCTACATGTTTCTACTTATATCCAGGGGGGCCCTCCTGGTGTACGACCAGAAGCCTGAGTAGCTACCAATGTGAGCCTTAAATGCCCAGCGTAGGGTTAAAACAGTAGCCACACGACATACTCCTGGCAACAAACTAGGGCCCAGCCAGCCCTAAACCCTCAACTCTAAACCTCGCCCTACACCATTCAAACCCTAAACCATTAAAACCCTAACCCCTTTAAACCCTACGCCCTAAACCATTTAAACCCTAAACCCTAAACCCTAAACCCTAAACCCTAAACCCTAAACCCTGAACCTTCCTACGCGCAATGGAGGCTTGGTGAGGGCTCGGACAGCCCCTGGTCTGGTCCTTCACGCCAAGGAGGCAGAAGGCACGGAGTCGGACGCCAACTTGCAGTTCCTGTCCAGCGAGACCTGCTTAAGATTTAGAATTTGGTGTTCAGAGTTTAGGGTTTAGGGAGGGTTCTGTAAATGATGGTCCCCGTTTGGGCAGTCTACTTTACAATGCGGAGTCTTATAGTAAACATACATATATGTATATAATATATATATATATATATATTTATTTATTTACTTATTTACGTGTTTATAGGTATATTTATTGTAAGCATCTGGGAAAGTGTGCCCGTGAGATGTTGTTGTTTTTTTGTTTTCCCTAAACCCTAAACCCTAAACCCTAAACCCTAAACCCTAAACCCTAAACCCTAAACCCTAAACCCTAAACCCTGTTTTTTGTTTAAATACTTTCCCGCATCGGGGTTTGAGAGGGTCTTACTTAGGAAGGTTGTCGACGTTGTTCCTTCATTGTGTGCTTCACATCAGCTCACCCAGGCATGCTTCTGTTTGGGTGTTAAAGGGTTTAGGGTTTAGGGTTTTAATGGCCCATCGCCAAGGAGAAGCAGCTCGACGCTCAGATCTGGACATTGGCCCTTCCAGCTTTCATTGCCCTTTGTGCCTCAGATGCTGAGTAGCTGGCGGGTGATTAAACTCTTACGTACGAAGCTTCTGAAAGCCAGCAGCTTAGTTCTCACACATCCTGAAACCCCAACCCTGAACCCTGAACCCTAAACCCTAAACCCTAGCAGGTGCCGAGCCCCTGCTGTCGATCATCGACACAGCCTTCGTGGGCCGTCTGCCGGATGCCGCTTTGAGTTTGGGAGGGCTCGGTGCCTGGGCCAGGTTTAGGGTTTAGGGTTTAGGCTTTAGGCTTTAGGCTTTAGGGTTTCGGGTTTAGGGCCAGCTGTTGGGGTGGGAGGGTTTTCTTAGGGCCTTCCAAGGGGGGTTTTGTAGGGTTCGACGGGGGCTGTATGGGCTTTCGCAGTGTTTAAGGCAGGGTTTCCAGGGTGTTAGTAGGTGAGACGAGGCCCCAGTTTTTGTCCGCTCCCCTCCCCAAGCAACTTGAAGCCGCGCGCCCCTTGAATTTCGAGGTGCAGCCACGTCTGTCTTCGACTTCGTGTTCCGCTGTTACAACTTTCTCTGCGTGGTTCTGGTGCCCTTGGTTGCCGAGGCCGTGGTTGCCAAGAAGCGAGGGGAAGCCACAGAGGACCGCACCCCCTAAACCCTCAACCCTAAACCCTAAACCCTGAACCCTAAACCCTAAACCCTAAACCCTAAACCCTAAACCCTAGCTTGTTTGATTCCGGTGTTGGTTTAGGGTCAAGGGTCCAGGGTTTAGGTTGCCGGCCTCCCCGCCCCCTGGTCCACAGTCGGGTCCATGGTGCAAGCTCTCTGGAGTGTTTCGGGTTTAGGGTTTAGGGTTTAGGGTTTAGGCTTTGTGTCTTATAAGTCACAGAACGTATCAAAGCCGCCCTCCCCAGAAAAAAGTGCCGAGATTTGCAGGACCCGGCAGACATTGTGGGACGTGTGATCGGCCTAGCCGCCGCGCTCGGCTACATGCTCTGCTTATGTGGGGTTCAGGGGTCTAAGGCCTAGGGATTTTTGATTTATAATCCCTAAACCGTAAACTCTATAGGGCTTAAGTTTTGGGCTTCCCTACGTCCCTACGATTCTCCACACCCTACACCCTAAGCCCTAAACCCTAAACCCTAGCCCCAAACCCCTAAACCCTAAACTCTAAACCCTAAACCCTAAACCCTAAACCCTAAACCCTAAACCCTAAACCCTAAACCCTAAACCCTAAACCCTAAACCCTAAACCCAACCATCGAAGGCTTCTTGACCTGGGCCTTGATCGCCTTCGGCTCCGAAAGCGTCCTGGAACCTCGGGTCCCGAATGTCCCGATACCCCTTCTTTCTTTAGGGTTTAGGGTTTAGGGTTTAGGGTTTAGGGTTTAGGGTTTAGGGTTTAGGGTTTCGGGTTCAGGGTTCAGGGTTCAGGGTTCAGGGTTCAGGGTTCAGGGTTTAGGGTTATGGTGTCACGGGGTTTAGGGCTTAGGGTCATGGGGTTTAGGGCTGAGGGCCTGAGATCGCTACGGCACAAAGAAAACTTTCTAAAACTAGGGGTCAGATTACGATGGTCCTAACTTGCAAACTTTGCCAACAGTCCCCCCACCCTAGGCTCTGCAGACACTTGTTTTGCGTAGCATTCAGGTGCAAGGGGCGAAGACTCTACTTGACAGACTGTACTTCCGAAATCTCTGGGAGCTATTTTGGTGCGGTTCCAGGGGATCGGGTTGCAAAACAGGCCCGGGGTAATGAAAAACGACAGCAGCTGTGAGTTGTCCTTCAGCGCATAGCTTGTCGAACCGATCATCTCTTTCATGCCCAAAAACTCCTACATAAACCCCGCGCCCAGGATGCTACGCGCTTACAGCCTACACCCTTTAGCTCAAAACCCTACAAACTTTAACTCAAAACCCTACACCCTTAAACCCAAAACCCTGCGCCCTTCAACCCAAAACCCTACA